TTACTGTTCTGTTGCTGTGAAGAGACACCATGACCAAGGCATCTCCTATAAAAGGAAATGTTTAACTGGGGGCTTGCTTACAGTCTCAGTGACTTAGACAGTTATCAACATGTGAAGAGTTTTACATCCTGATCCTCAGGCAATAGGCTGGGGTAAGGAGATGGAGGAATAGACTTGGCCTAGCATGGGCTTTTGACACCTCAAAGACCATCCCCAGGGGCAAACCACCTCCAACAAGGACACACCTACAAATCTTCACAGTCAATCTACTAACTGGTGACTAAGCATTGAAATATATGAGGAGCCATGGGAAACATTCTCATTCAAACCATTACACCCGCCCTCAGTGACAGGCCTAATCCTTCCCAAAGAGTTCATCAACTGGCCACCAAATATTTAAACATAAGCCAATGGGCCATTCTTATTCAAACCACTGCAGTCATATGCTGGTGCATAACGAGTTTGAAGCCAGCTTTGGCTGCTTCAGACCCTACCTCAAAAAAAAAGAAAGTTATTTTTAAAAAAGCAAAAAAGGCACTAGATTGGTTAACAAAATCCCAATGTAGTATGCATTTAGTATACATTATTATTGGTGATTTAAACGTGCTTATTTTTTTATTAGATGCAGACATTATTACCAACGTTAAATACTTGCTATTTAATATGGTCTCTGTTCTTGGTCCTTAAGATTAACAACGGCTATCATTCAAAAGGAAAGAAAATAGCTTCTGTCTTTTTTTCTACCTTTCCTTCCTTTATTGTTCTAGATGCTGACTTCTCAGGCACTGATTCCTCTTGGAGTCGTCTAGTGCCCTTTAATTCTTTATTTCCTAGACAGATCTGATAACTTTGAGTGACTCAGCATCTATGTATGTGTATACATAAAGAGTACCCGTGTATCTGCAAAAGAGTAAAGAGGAAGAGTGAAGAGTGAAATACTGAACTAAAAGGCTCAACTTCTGATTCTGTCTCCACCTGCCTCAGCACAGGCCCCTTTGTCAGGTCAGTTTCCTTCTCTTAGATAAGAACTGGACTTGGATCCCAATAGTGGACCCTCTTAATCCCAGCAACCACACAGAGGGCAGCTCAACCATCTCTAACTCCACTTCCAGGGGCTCTGATGCCCTGTTCTGGCCCTCTCTGTAATCAGGCATGCATGTGATACACAGAAATAAGATGATAGACACCTGGGATACCTGCCAAGGAGAGCTGCTAACAGAGTGCAACCACCCAAGAGAGAAGTGCCTTGAAGTCAACAAAGCTGGACAGAGTTGGAGATCTGTAGAGTAATCTGACATCAAACACACAGATGTACAGTTTGAAGTTTGCCCAGCTGGCTTTTGGTCCTGCTTTGGTCAAGTATTTCCTCACTATGCTCTCTTCCCTATGTTTTGGAATGGTAATGTACATCCTGTGCCATTATGTGTTGGGAGCATGTGATCTGCCCTTTGAGTTTGATTTTTACAGGTGATTACATTAAGAGATTGCATGAATCTCAGAAGCAACTCTGGACTTTAAAACCATGTTGAAACACTGTGATGGACTATGGGGACTTTGAGATGTGGGAGTTTGAATTTAACTGGCCTCCATAATTTCACAGGGAGTGGCACTGTTAGGAGGTGTGGCTTTGTTGGAGTTGGAATGGGTTTGGCCTTGTTGGAGACAGTGTGACACTGGGGGCAGGCTTTGAGGTTTCCACCCAGAATTTCAGTAGACTTCCTGTTGCCTACAAGATGTAGGACTCTCAGCTGTTCATCCAGCACATCTGCCCGTATGCCACCATGCTCAAGCCATGATGATCATGGACTAAACCTCTAAAATTGTAAGTGAGCCACTCCAATTAAATGTTTCCTTTATAAGAGTTGCTGTGGTCATGGTGTCTCTTCACAGCAATAAAAACCTTAAGACACCATCCTACAACAGGACACTTGCCCAACTATGTTCTAGCAGCTTCATTAGTAATAGAGACTGGAAACAATCTAGATGTTCCTCATCCAAAGAATGGATAAAGAAATGTGGTGCATTTACACAATGGAGTGTCACTCGGCTGCTTAAAAAAAGAACAAAACAAAAAAAAAAAAAAAAATCATGAAATTGCAGGTAAACAGATGGAATTAGAAAAAAAATCATCTGGAGTGAGGTAACACAGACCCAGAAAACAAACATGGAATATACCTACTTATAAGTGGGTATCAGATATAAAGAAAGGATAATCATGCTACATTCACAGAGAGTGTAAGTAACAAGCAGAGTTTGAGGTGGGAGGGGTGTTTACATGAATCTCTCTAGGAAGGGGAAATAGAGGAGATTTAATGAGTGGACTGGGGGCCGATGGGGATGGAAGCACTTAAGGATAAGGTGAGGGTGGAAGGTAGGGGGAGAAAGTACTAGGAGAGATGAGTAGATTGTGGTGGGCATGTCAGGGATGAGCTAGAAACCTAGTGCAATAGAAACTCCCAGGAATCTACAAGTGTAACCCCTAATTAAGACTAGTAATAGGAAATCCAGAATCTGAACCTGCCATATTCTAGAACCAGGTGAGGCTTCCAGTGGAGGGGCTGAGAGACCAACTCATCAACAAAACCATCAACTTGCAAGTAGTCCTGCTTGAAAAAAGAGGTGGGGTAAAGGTGGCTCACAATTTGCACAAGAGGCCAACTGTGGTGGTTTGAAAGAAAACTGCTCCCAAAGGGAGTGGCACTCTTAGGAGGGGTAGCCTTGTTGGTGGAAGTGCATCATTGTGCGGAAGGAGAGTGAGGGGAAACTGGGGTTTCTATGAAATGAAAAATTTTATTTTAAAAATATGTTCATGGATCTATATAAATATATTATCTCAATACATGAATCTATATTCAAAAAGACAGTGGAAGGACAAAAAGCAACATCCTCTGAAGAGATGTAAACATCACTTCCTAACAGAAGCTTCCCATTGTTTCAACCATTTCTAAGGATTATATATATATATACTGCTTTTCTGTTTTGGTTTTAATGATGAAACAGGTTACCCATATAACCTATAATTACACACTCATATTGGTCAAAAGAAATGCCCAATTCAATTTCTTGAACTTTCACCCATCCCATCATCACTTCAATTAGCCTGAGTATAAGGGAAATTAAATGTTATTGTTTCAGGCTCTTGTCTTGATGCTAAGAACAAACTATGACTAAGTAAGAAACTGGGTAACTAGGATTCACAGGACAGGAGACTGAAATTTAGTATGTGATTACTACAGGCCTGAATTAGCACTTAAATCATAGATTTAGTTTCTTGAGTTGCAAACTTTAGGTCAGATACGGAACAATTGTGCATATGTTTATATGCATAATAAAATTAACAGCATATTGGAAATAAAAATAGCTAACAGAAAGTAAGATACTGGTCCAGGAGAGAAAGAACAAAAATAGGTTTAAACAGAGATTTAATAATGTCAAGATTACAAAGGTTTCAATATAAAACCTGATTGTAAATAAACACCAGTCATAAGTTTTCTTCAGGAAAACAATACCTACATGAATAAATTTGCTGAATTGAGTAATAAAATGGGAATGAAAAGTAGAAATACATGTAAAAATCTAGAATCAGAACAAGGAGACAGTGCAAAGCTTTTCTTTCTGTCTGGACCCAATGACACTTAGGAACCATTCCAGTCACAATCACACTACTGTGCTAGAGAATGAGTACTTATGCTGTCCCTTGACACCAAAGGAAAACACAACTGAACAGGTGAAAACCACTGGCTGAACATACCAACAAGAAATTCATTAGTTAGGTCTCACTCTCTCCATCCCTATCAGTATGCAAGACCAAGAACAGGAACACCAGTCTGAAGACACTTGAACTCCCTATCTCAGAAAGAGGGGCCTCATGGCAGTGACACTGTGACAACTTTCTCACTGCAGCCCACAGAAAACAATCAACAACTTACATGTTAAGAATAAAATGACAGGTGTGGTGGTGCATGCTCTCAATTCCAGCACTCCATGGGCAGAAACAGGAATTTCTCCAAAATCAAGGCCATCCTGGTCAACACAGCAAGTTCCAGGACAACCAGGGCTACACACACAAACCCTGTCTCAAAGAAACAAATCAATAAATAGGTAAATGTTAAAATGAGAGAAAGAGAAATTATGTAAGAAAGCCAGTCAGTAGGACCAGCAGAATATAGGAGAAAGTACTCACTGTGTCAGCCTGAAAACCTGAGCTGTCTCCAGAACCTACAGTAGAAAGATAATCTTCCAGCTGTCAACTAATCACCATTCATCCTGCATGAAAATGGGCACACCCATGCCTGCTTGGGTGCTCTCTCTTGCTTGGGTGCTCTCTCTCTTTCTAATCTCTCTCATACACACACACACACACATTGTTTTTGAACTGTTGAAAGAAAACTAGTCAGTGAACAAAAAAAAATCTGAATTTCATCATTAGACAATATTCTGACTTTCTTTAAAGTATAATCCATTATTTAAATTTTTAAAGTTTATTATTTTATTTTGGGTCATTCATACCTAACTGCAAGAAGTAGGGTACATATTTTATAAGATAATCAAATCAGAAAAACCACAAATGCTTTTCCTTATTTTATATAATTTATGTGTGCAAATGTTATGTCTATGCACTATATGCTCATCCCTATGTACTACACACATGCTTGTGCACTACATGCAAGCCTTTTGCACTACATGAATACATGGTGCACTATATGCAGGCCTGGTATACCACATGCATGTCTGTTTACTACATGTGTGTGTAAGCACTGCATGCATACCTGGTGCACTTGGAGGCAGGAGAGGCCATTGGATTCCCTAGAGTTGGAACTGCCATGTGGATGCTGAGAACCAAGCCCAAGTCCTCTGGTCTGGAGCAGCAGCCAGTCTTAACCAGCCCCAGAAACTTCCCTTTTGAATCACTGAATTATCAGTACAGGTAAGAAGACCTATTTATGGAACCATGTTTATGGGAAACTGGCTGATTTCATCATTATCAAAGACAAATAAGATTTTAATTCAATTAAAATTTATTTGATTAAACATACAGTTAACTTTACATTTGTCTACAACCATGGTGAACACATTCCTGGTATAAAGACACAGCCTTTTAAGTTTAAGGTATCCCCAGCTATAAGATTACATGTATAAAACTACCATAATTATGGATGATACAATCAAAGTAAAACATACTATGCAGAATAAAATAAAATGGGAATAATTTACTCATGAGATTCATATTTAAATCATCTTTTTTTACAAAATACTATCCTGAGAATTATAATTCCATTAAGCTTCAATTTGAGCAACAATATAATCACATAAGTAACAGCAGTTACTTAAACTGAAAATGAGAAGAAATGACTGCCGAGGAAACTGTCAGGTCTCCTGTGTTTCTGGAGGTTCTGGTGCAGGTTGTTTGGAAGGCAAAATCAAGTCTGGAGGGAGCTCATTTCTACTTTCAGGTTGTGGGGGTGGGGGGAAGAACCCGGCTCTTGGAGGAAGGTAAGGTGGAAAGCCCCTTGGTTCGTACACATTTCTCCCTGTTCCAAGAGATGGGTAAAGGACAGTCGAAGTTAAATCACTAGCTCCAGCCCCTATTCTCATATCCAAACACTCACACCACAATACTTGATCTCTCAAATCTTGACATTGAAAAAGGGACTTTAGCTACATAGGATTAATAAGAACATCACGAACACTTTCAGGTGTGTTTGTCCTATCTTGGCAACTAAGCAGATCTCAATACACTCGAGACTTACTGTAAAATGGTTTTTCAAAATAGTAAAACTTTCAAACTTTACATTCAGTGATACTGACGTGATATCCTACTAGAAACATTTCCTTTAATGCCAAGGACCACCTTAAAACAAAACTCATTTCATTCACCTAGAAGTTTAAGAGTAGAGGTGAGAACAGACAGCAGACATGTAGGACAACTGAGCTGGCGTTCTTGTCTAGTACTTGAAAACATAATTCACTATGTAGAAACTTGTGATTCCAAAGGGGAAAGTGTGCTGTAAAAGCAGTAACTTACTTTTATTTTAAAATGTAAGGGTATGAAGGAATTTCAAATGAATTCAACAAATAACTAAATATGATCATGTGGGAACTACTACTTAGGAGAAATACTTTAAAACACTTTAGTCAGTAATTTTCAGACCAAACTATAAGTAATTACTTTAAACAATTTCTATCAAATATATTACTATCAAATGAATAGATAATCTTAAAACTGCTTGCAGCTGGGCATTGGTGGCACAAGCCTTTAATCCTAGCCCTTGGCAAGCAGAGAAAGGTGGATCTCTGTGAGTTCAAGGCTAGCCTGGTCTACAGAGTGAGTTCCAGGACAGGCTCCAAAGCTTTATGTAAAGAAACTCTGGCTTGGGAGTGAGGGGAGAACATGCTTGTAAATTGACTCATCTTCTGACCTATAACACTACAGTTAAAATTCAAATTCCCTAAGGTGGATCAAGGTGAAGCCTTGCCCTCCTCTGTTGCTGGACTGTAACCTGTGAGCCATATAAAAAGCCTTTCCTCCTCAAGTTGGTTCTGGCCAGTGTTTATCACAGTAAGAAGAACCAAACTTGAAAGAAAGCACAGATAAATGTTAACACATACATGAACCTTTAAAAAAAACCTACCTGGCATTGGAGGAAACGGTGGGCCTGCAAAGTCCCTTGGTGGGACATATTGTCGAGGATCCCCATAGATGTTTCCTGGAGGAGGTGGGGGAAATGGGGGGACCCTTCTCATTATCTCCATCCTTGGATCCCCTGGAAACACAGGACCTCGAGGGCCTCTAACCGCTGGAACTCGTGGAGGATTCAAGTCATACACAACTGCTTTGGATTCAGCAGGGCCAGAGTTGGGCACAGTTGCATTCTGTAACAGAGTGACAATCAGCATTCAGTGAAGCCGCCTGATTCACAGGTCCTTTCCTGGGAGTGTCAGGCATCGAAGAAAACAGTCCATGACATTGCAGAAAGCCTGGGAATAGGCTCAGTTTTCCACACGGTGTAGAGCCAGTGATTCACTATCCTAAGTAGTTTTACTAACTCAGCAGAAATCCTTAAGCATGGTAGTTAACAGTCTACCTAGCTCACACTCAAGCACAAGTACAGTTCAAGCAGATCAAAACAGACACTGTAAAAGAGCTATACACCAGGAGGTGGGGGCACAAGCCTTTATTTAGTCCCAGCACTCAGGAGGCAGAGGGAAGTGAACCTCTGTCAATTTGAGGTCAACCTGGTCAACAGAGTGAGTTCCAGGACTGGCTCCATTGCTACTGGGAAACCCTATCTCCAGGGAAAAAGGGGGGGAAAAAAAAGACACTTTTATCAAACACACAAAAGGCAAATGTTTAAGATACTGATATTTTCAAAAGGACCAAAATCAAAGCTATATTTGAAAACTAAAATACATTTTAAGATTCAAATAAGATTTCAAGGAAAAAAAAATCTGTAGAGCAGGTAAAGAAGCTTTGAAGTTCATCTAAAAGTTATACTTATTTAGGCAGTATCAGGTTTTTTGGGGGGTGTTTTGTTTTGTTTTTTGAGAAAGGGTTTCTCTGTATTGCTTTGGAGTCTGTTACTGGAACTAGCTCAGTAGACCAGGCTGGCCTCGAACTCACAAAGATCCTCCTGCCTCTGCCTCCTGAGTGCTGGGATTAAAGGTGTGTGTTACCAACACCCAACAGGTATCTTTCTCGTTTGTTTTAATTATTTTTTTTTTCTTCACAAAAATGGGTGTTTTGCCTGCATGTATGTCTCCATACCTTATATATTTGGTGTTCTGGAAGGACAGACTAGGGCTTCAGATCCCTTGAAACTAGAGTTAAGAAGGGCTGTAAGCCTGGGAATCAAGCCTAGGTCCTCTAGGAGAGTAGCCAGGGTTCTTAACCTGTAAGACGTTTCTCCAGCCTATGTGGTTTTTTGAGAGACAATCTGCTTATATAGCCCACACTGGCTTTGAATTTAGCATCCTCCTGCCTCAGCCTGCCAAAATGCTAGGATTACAAGCACCATCAAAACCTGGCTTGTGATCTGTACAATTTCACAGAAGGTTACAAGCTAACAATGAATGTGTTAACACTAAGTAGAAGTATATTTTATTAATATCTTGATATCACAAAGTAGAAGAGCTCTAGCCTTATTCTAATAAAACCAAGAAACTAGCTGTGGATCCATGAATTCAATTTCCAGTACTTACTCCAGGGTCATGTTTGGTGGCATTCTTCCCGGATTCCAATGTGGAGGATACTAGCCCATCTAAACAGAAAAATAAACGAGGAAAACTTCATGAGTTCTCATTTTATTTACAGACCATTTCCAGATCCAAATGACACTGACATGTTCCTCTCCCTTTGTTGGGACAGGGAACAACTTGACATGAATACAATAATAATCCTTATTAGGGTCCCAAAAGCAGCCTTTTGAGTGTACAACTTGCTGTTCCCTGCTCTAGTCTGAAAACCTAAAGCTCCAGGAATGCTCTTGGCATCCACAGCTGCATCCCTCTTGTGGTGGTTTGAATAGGAATGGCGCCATATACTCATGTGTTTGAGTTCTTGGTCCATAAAGAGAGGCACGATTAGGAAGTACAGCCTTATTGGAATAGGTGTGGCCTTGTTGGAGGAGTGTGTCACCGTGGAAGTGAGCTTTGAGGTCTCATATATATGTGCTCAAGATACTCTGTGTGACATACAGTCTCCTTCTGCTGTCTGCAGATCAAAATATATAACTCTCACTTCCTCCAACACCCTGTCTACCTGCAAGCCATCATGCTTCCTGCTGTGATGACAATGAACTAACCACACCTCTGACACTATAGCCAGCCCCAATTAAATGTTTTCCTTTCTAAGAGATGTTATGCTCATAGTGTCTCTTCACAGCAACAGACACTTAACTCAGACAACTCTCTACAGGCCAGCATCAAGGAAACTTAGAAAGCAAAAGGCAGGTCCTTCACCTGTACATTTCTCTCACTCCCAAGTAGGAGATACTTGGCAGCCAGAACATTGGTCACCCCACAGAGGATGACCTGGTAGTCTCAAGAAAGGTATGAGAACTCAATTCTTGGCAAGAAATATTTGCTAAGACAACAATGAAAATACTTTTGTAGCTCTACATCTCTACATGATTCAGATTTTCAAAAATAAGCATATATTATTTCTATAAGCAATAGTAACAACTGGGAAAACTTCCTGTAATGTGAACAGTCAACTCTTGATACTCCTTTTAAATATTCTTATTTCTAAAATGATTCACAAGTTTTACAGTAGAGACATATATGGTCCTCTTTCCTTCCATCACTGTGTCCCAAATACAAGATGTCTTGCAAATATGAATAGTGACTGTTGTTTTCACACACCAGGTGGAGGCGCCATCATCCTTTGGTCTTGTTCCCATGGAGGTGACAGGGACCTATCAGAAGGTGCTCTGGGAGCATCAGATAATCTGTTATAGCTTGGGTCTCCTCTTTCAGTGTTCATCTGATGGTCCAGAGGATTCTGAGGGCCTCGTGAGCCTAATTAAAGAAAACTCAAATCGATATAATCTCAAAAAGTGTCAGGAAAGACATACTGTCAAATAAAATCAAGATGCTTTTTCCAAAGTGAATACAGAGTCACACAAATCTTCCCTAGAATATATTTAGATTACAATTCTACTAAAACCATTTCTAAGAGATGGGAAAATAAGTTTCCAATGTGTATAAACAAATACTTGCTACAGGCTTGGAAGGATAGCTCAGAGATTAGAGTTTTGCTTAGCTAACAAAGGCTTCTGGGGTCAACCCATGGCACAAAATAAGTAAGTAAATAAATAGCCAACAACAACACTTGCCCATAAAATTCTTTGAGTTACCACCATCATCATTTTGTCATTATAACCATGCTTAAATAATAACTACTAAGTCTGAAAAATGAGGTATAAAAAGTAAATTGTAAAACTTCTAATAAAAGTATAAAATAAGCATAAGATAATGTTTTTTGTTGCTTAGCCATGATTTCTATCAATCATCATAGAGGCCACATTCCTTTATCGGCAACTCTGCTACTAACCTAGTAGTTTCACACAACTTCTTTGGAAACACACTATACTAAGCCATACATTAAGAGACCAAAACTTGCATCAGAAGTTATAGTAAGAATCTCTAATTCTATCTAAAAATGATGATATATTCTGATAAATCCCACATCTTTCCTCCTAATTAGTTTATGACAACAAGGCTGGAAAGGGAGAAGACTCAGGAGTCCACTAGGCTCAGCGTATCTCAAGTGAAGCACACAAGCCTTATGAGAGGTCCAAAGACTCTCCTCATCATGTGCTACCAGGACCAAAGCCACAGGCCACGTAAATTCAGGAGGATATTGCAAACCTGAAAATACAAAAGCTTAAAAGGTTTTAAGAGCAAGTATTTACAATTCACTCTCTAAAATAAATTGCTTTCCTTATATACAATCTTATTCAAGCTTTAAATTTCAAGATAGTGAGAGGAAGGAGAGGGAGGCGCCTGTCTTTTCACTGATCATGGGAAACTTGCTCCACATCGAGGTTTCAGGCCTGTTGGTAACTTACCAAGAATTTCTGTAGCTTTTTCACAGGAAACAACCTTACAAATAATCTAAACACACTTAAAAAGTGTGTCACTCAAAAAGCAATTAAACAGAAGAGTAAAGTACTTAAACAGGAGAGGAGAAAGGAAAGGTAATTTTTATAATTTCAAACATTCATTTGACTACAAGCAATCCTTGACTTATGCAATTCAACTTGCAGTGAGTTAGTTTAGCCAATTAAACCCTATATCTAGGGTACTGTGTTCATATATGGATAGCTGCTATCCTTGTGTGTTATGCAAAATTAACTTTGTTTTAATGAACATTCTTCTCCTAATGAAATGTGATAAAACTGTACAGAAAGTATCAGAAATCACAAAGTGCAATGGCAAATACTTTATGTGGTGGCTTTAATTGCATTTATATTGGTATGTAATGTGACATGACACACATTACTTACTCTAAGTCCAAGTGTACCAAGGAGACTGAGTGATAGCACTGAGCCCAAGGCTCAGACATGTAAATTTCAAAACTTAACCCTTTCTGGTTCAATATAACCCGCTAGGACTTCATGTCTGGCATAGGCATTTTCCCTTGAAGCTTCCAATTCAAAACCAGCACAGGCAAAGCTCTTCCCAAGGTGGGCCAGGGCTGCAAAGAGGTGGGAAAACAGTTCCGGATGGAGCAAACTGAGGACCAAGAAGAAACCAAAGAGGAAACAGGCAGAGCGGCTCCTTCTCCTACAGCACCTAAGACTGGATACCTGGGAACCTGACATTCTCACAAAGGATTCTGAAATATTGACAATAACCCTGGGTTTTACAGAAGGACAGTTTGCCTAAGACTCTGGAAATGAGCACACTTAGTGTGGTGTTAGCATGTTTGGTTTAGCCTGCTGTTTTCTTATTCTTGCTTGTTCCTGCCTCACATTTAGTTTGTTAAATCACTTACAGAGACATTTATTGGCAGTGGCTGTACTTGACATAGCTATGGGAATACAGAAAAAGCAAGGTGGCATGGGAGCAATGCACACAACCCTGGCTTAGTCTCTCAATGGGTCGGTAAGAGTACTCACGAAAAGGCCCCACTCAAACTCTGCCTACAAGAGCACTTCTGACTTCCTTCAGGATTAAAAGTGGTGACAGGGGCTTTCACATTCTGGTTTACTATTAAAAAAAAAGTTACTGAATTAAATGTATACATATAAAACACTACATTCTGATGCTGTTTCATCAAGCACATTTTATGCTGGTTATACTGCTCTATCTTACATATTCTTTAAAAGGTTTTATGTAGTGTAATATAATTTTGAAAGATACACACTGACTCTCCATTATCCAGTGTAGGTTGAGTATTCCTTACTGGAAATGCATGGCACCGTAAGTGTTTGCAATTTTAGGTGATGGGGGAAGTCCTTATGTATATATTTTTCTTTTATTGGTTAATAAATAAAACCCTGATTGGCTTATTGGCCAGGAAGGAAGTACAGTCAAGGCTCTAAGAGATGAGAAGAATGCTAGGAAACATAGGCAGAGGGGTTTCGGTCCACGAAAGGAGTAACAAGACTGGGCATTCTCCAGTAAGACAAGACCAGGCTTACATAGAGTAATAGAAATGGGTTAATAATTAAGAGAGAGCTAGCTAGCCAATAAAAAGCTCAAGCCACCGGCCAACAGTTGTGTAACTAATATAGCATCTGTGTATTCATTTGGGGCTAAAGAGTAGCAGGACCAGATGGGACGAAGAACCTCTTGTTACATCTTGTTACATTTAAGAGTGTGTGTGTGTGTGTGTGTGTGTGTGTGTGTGTGTGTGTGATGGGAAGAAAAACCTCTTGTTACATCTTGTTACATTTAAGACTGTGTGTGTGTGTGTGTGTGTGTGTTTATAGACCTAAAGGATTGAGCATCACAAACTCAAAAGTCACAACTTTTTGAGTGCTACACCCAAAGAGTCTGCCATTGAAAGCACTCTGGATTTCTGAATTTCCATAGTTGGGATAGTCACCTGCCTTAAACTGTATGCAAGAAAAACACATTATCAGAACAAGGTGCTATGGAGGGCTGCTGTCTGTTTGTTTTTGAGGCAGAATCATACTATGCAGCTCTCTGAATGGCCTGGAACTCACGCTGTAGCCCAGGCTGGCTTCAAACTCAGACATCCTCCTGCTTCTACATCCCAACTGCTGGAATTAAAGGAATGTGCCACCATATCTGACCTAAGATTCTTTACCCAGTTTAAAAAAAAAAAAAATAAGTAAATCTATGATATATGCAAGGAGTGCCTGTACTTTCCAAATGTCTCTTCACAGATTATTTTAAAGTTGAAATGAAATGAAATGAAATGAAAAGATACAGTAAGGAAGAAATTTAGAGTAATAAAAATGTTTAAACAATGTACCTCTTCCTCCTCCCCCTGGAAGCAAAGGGGAGAGTCTGAGTGGACCCTCCAACAAAGTTGGAGGAGAGAGAAAAGCTCTCGTTTCAGATGAAGGTCGGCCCAGTGGGGAGGGACCATATGGGGAGTGCTCTGGAATAATTAAAACAGCAGATGTAAATACAGATCCAGTTAGCTGTACCATAAAGTCAGAATCTCATTCAACAACTGTCACTGGGTCATCCTACTGTCAGCTTACGTCTAATCTGCGCCCTGAACACTACACAGATTTCAACCGAGCATGGTTTTAAAGCTTTTCAACAAATTAGACATTTACTCAAATAAAAGCATAAGGTTGTATATATAAATATTCACAACTTGAATTCCCTCAGCTTTATACCTATGTAGAGTTCTGATGTTTTTGTAAGGTTTTATTTTTAATTTGGCAAGTGTGTGTGTGTCTGTCTATGTGTGGGACATGTACATGCAAGTAACAGTGGCCTATGAGGCCAGAGGCAGTGGATCCTCTAGAGCTGAAGTTTTCAGGGACCATGAGCTACTCAATATGTGCGCTAGGAACTGAACTCAGGTCCTCTGCAAGAGCAATATGTGCTCTTAACAGCTGAGACACCTCTTCAGCCCTAAGACAATTCTGATTCTTAAAAAGTGAATGTTGTAAGGTCTGTGTTGAATGTTGCTTATTTTTATCTGTGCAATGTTGAGGGCAGGCCACAAGCTCTAGAGAAATTTTACCTGGGTAAATAAACACAACTCTTAAGATATGTTGTACATAAAAAAACCAACCAACAAATAACAGAACCACAAACAAAACCAAACCATTAGTTACTGTAAGTAACCACACAAGTTAAACAAAGGATGCTGGGGTATTTAGAAGTCGCCGAAGGATTTAGGAAGCATGAAGTGGGTTTACTTATTTTATTTGTTCATTTTTGTGCTGCTGTTTTATTTTGTTTGTTGAAATGGTTTCATTATGTAGCACCAGCTGGCCTGGAACTGAATATGTACACCTGATTAGCCTTAAACTCACAAAGATTAGCCTGTGCCTGACTCAAGTATGATTAAAGGTGTCTGCCACCATACACAGATATTTTGGGAACTTTGTGACAGTATACTTCCCAATATTTCAGCTGGGAAGATTTATAACTTGGAAGTGCTTGATTTAAGTCAGAGCCAGATAGGTCATGGTCATCCATGAAATGGTCTAGTAACACAGTTTTGGGGGTTTTGTTTTGTTTTGCTTTGCTTTTTAGTTTTTTGAAAGAGTTTCTATGTAGCCCTGGCTTTCCTAGAAATTACTCTGTAGACCAGGCTAGCCTTGAAATCAGAGATCTGCCTGTCTCTGCCTCCCAAGTGCTGGGACTAAAGGCATATGCCACCACTGCCCAGTCAGATTTTTAAAAATAAACAAATGTATAAAATACTCTGAAGAATCAGAAATTACTTTTGCATTTTACAAGTTAAAGACTCAAATATTATCATGCATCTAATAAATTTCTCTGTAATCCAGATATCTAAGAGCCCTAACATTATACAAATTCATCATCCCCAACTGTGATTATGCTTCCAAAGGTAAAACATCAGCAACAAAAAAAAAACTTAAACACCAGGGAATTCCCATTTGAAACACATTAAATCTTACAGGATGTATACCATCCCACCAAATAGTCTACAGAGATCAAAGCACTGTTGACCCTTCATAGAGGCCCACTTCAAGCATTGTTACATCTTGAAGTCTTCAATAATCTGATATTTTAAAATGTAAGACATATTTACATTGTAGTGAAAGTTGACTCTCGAAAGTGATTTGCTGACTTCCAGAGGTTGTTAAAGGTATATTCTACCCATGAAGATTATCTTCATAACTATAGGACTTAATTCTACTTCAACTAAAATCACTCTGAAAATGATTAGCTGTTGGGTGAAAATGTTAACTTACACTAAAGTAAAAATATATATATATATATTATATATAAGATATATATAATATATGTATAAATATATATAATATAATATATATATATATATATGTATTTACACAATATGTATTTTAAACAAGAGGTTAAAAAAAAGGAAAAAAAAAAACTTACCTCTGCCAAATGCTGTATTTGGAACATCAGGTGAATAAGGATCTTTTTCTGAGAGTTCAAATTTAAATTCTGCTTCAGTTAATCTGCAAACAAAGAACAAACATCTCCACATTACTCATCAGAAAGAAACACCACAATTTAGGCAAAGGCCACTTCCAAAGCAGTTCCAAGCTCAACTGCTAAAAGAAAAAGGCTAACCACTAGTCCACCCAGATGCCTTTCTACAGTTCCCCACTTTCTTGGGGGTATTGTTGGGTGCTATCTCGCAGAGTATACATTTCTGAAGTAGAACATCCTAGATAAACTAGCCAAAATGTGTCATTTTATAACTAAGGGAACTGAGGCAGGAACCTTAACTGACTCTGAAATGAAAAGGCCAGGGCAACAGTGCAAAACTGCTGAGTTACCCACACTTGCCCTTGTAAAACTTGAAGTCCCATTAAATGATATGACTATTACGTTTCTAAACTCTGTGTCTTTAAATGTTACATTTTTAAACAAGTGTTATCTAGTTCCTAGTTCTTAAGACTTGAAATAAAACAGCTTTATCTACTTAGAAATGAAGAACCCTGATACTCTAAGCATCACTGTGTCAGAAAGACATCCTCTCTTTTGCCCACTCTTGTTTTTTCTCCACTCATCCTGGTGTAATGTTTTTAAGGAACACATTTTACAGTGTGACTTGTAAAAGCTTAAAATGCCTCGTACTACCCAAGGAAAAGTATTTCAAACAAATTAAAACTTCACAGCTAGTAAAACTGGATATTTCATAACATATGTGGATTTACTACAAAAGTTTTGTTTTTAACTTTTTTTTTAATTTATCTTTATACAAGCATTACATAATGAAGAACTATTTCAAGTAAAGTATCCACATGAATACTTACTTTTGTCTATTGACAGCATTTTCTCTCCTTAATTCATTGAGGTTTCTTTCCAAAGTACGAGCTGCCAGCTTGAAGAAAATAATACATTTTGAAGCTATATCTATACAAACTTAAATGCCAAGAGCATGATGACATATAATATCACAACAAAAAACAGGTGAGAATCTGCAGTTATTGTAGTCAACATAAAGCATTTTAAATGTAGGGAATTATTCAAAAAGGGAATGAGTTTCATGCCAGACAAATGCATAAATATAGCTGGAGTTTAATTGGTACTTGTTAATGAATGTTGCTATTTAAATGCAAAATCGGGGCCTAAAATTATTTGATGATGAAAATATCCAATCATAAGAGGCATGCTAGCAGAGTAGCTTAGGGCAAAGTCAATGGAAATGGATGGTCATTATGTCCATAATTCTGGGAAACCTCAAAGGTCTAAAACAGTTTCACAGAATGCCAATACAGGTCATCTTTTAATAACTAAATGTAATCAATACATATTGCACATCTATTAAGTATAAGAGAATGTACATATATAGTTTAAGCAGTTATTATTTGTATGCACATAAGTGTATGCACACAAGGGCATGTTTTTGTGTGTATTTGTTGGTACTGTACAGCACCATACCCGGCTTAGTTATAATAAATACCAAGAACATGCAATATTCCCAAATAATCATTAACAAAGGCTAAACATATGTTATTCTACATGCTTCCCAGCCATTCTGTTGACTCTACAGATCAGATGAAGAATATAGAAAACATTAAATAGCTCAAATGCAAAATATAAGCTTAGCATACATAGGTAGCAAAGACTAATACTCTACAAGTAAAGGAACTCTACTTTCAAAAACTTTGATGAAATTGACTTAGCCAATGAATAAACTAAACATTCACAGAAAACATAGCTTAATATATTTTAATACTATCATAAAAGGTTTTTTGGCTAGGCAGTGATGATGCAGGCCTTTAACCTCAGTACACAGCGGGCAGAGGCAGGCACATCTCTGTGGACAGCCTGGTCTACAGAGCTAATTCCAGGACAGCCAAGGATACACAGACAAACCTTGCCTCAAACCCCTGCTCCAAAAAAAGAGCAGGGGTGTAATTATTTTCCAATATGTAATCATAAAATCAATTATGAACAAAAAGGAATGCTGTACCAATAATGTGAGCTAGTAAAATGTAACGATTCACTTAACTGTTTTAAAATTGTATTTAGTTTCATGTGCATGAGTGTTCCTGACTCTGATATACCTGGACTTATAAGGTGCTGGCTGTTTGACACATGTATATGAACATGTGCACATGCTATGTGTGTGAGTGGAGGTGTCCTAAGAGGACAGAAGAGGGTGTCAATTCACCTGGAACTAGAATCACAGGCAACTGTGAGCCATCTGACTTGCTCAGAACCAAACACAGCTCAGGTCCTCTGGAAGAGCAGCAAGTGCTGAGATGAACTACTGAGCTGTCTCTCCAACCCCCAAAATTCCTTGTCAAGACTTTGTGATTTTAAAACTAATTACATTCAGAGAGAAAAGTACAAATAAAGCACAAAATAAAAGATGATTACTTCTCAGTGCCTTCTATGGTCTGACTTGTAACATAATTTCAAGACTGGTAAAATTAATAAAATTCATAGAAAGTGATTATTTTTAAATACTGTCTATATTTTTACCTAATCTAAAATGAATAGTATATATACAAAAACGTTAAAACTTACCCAGTTATCATGTGCCTTTTTTTCATGAGTAATAACCTAAAAAGTAGTTATTAAAATTATTCTTAAATAAAAACATTCATTCCCACCACTAAAATTTAAGACCCAAACCATAAACTCCCACTGCCTAGGCATCTCTGAAGCACTATAAAAACTTTGAAAACATAATTTCACGTATACAGATGATTTACTCTCCTGAACTTTTAAACAAAACCTTGAATGTGTTTTTAATGACAACAAACCACGTGTGATCATCAACTACAAGCTTCCAAGGAACAGATAACAAGCCCAACACGGGACTGCAATGGTGACAGACACTGACTGGGGTGCATGATTCTCATTCCCAAAGAAAGGAAAGTTTCAGAAGTTTTTTATTTCAGCATCTTTGGCCCCCTGGATATCTTTCAGTTTCACAAACACCTCAGGAGGGATGGAAACTACAGTCCTGCATCAGTTCTATTGAGTCAGAATGTGCTAACTGTGCACACAGCAGTCACGTGACACACATACCTGCCCTTGATAAGAGCGAATTGTTCTCTCCAGCTCTTCTTCGAGATCCTTGGCACGCCGTCTATAGGGAACAAGTAGTTACTCCACTGTGGCAAAATATAATAAGGAGTGAAAGCACATGACTACAAGAATACAAACGGGAGTGTTTTTCTACCTTATTTAATTATAACCACAAGACTCATCTTTTGAGAGATGGTGACAGATTTTTAAAGATCACCTTCTCCTCCCCTACTTCTAACCTCAATTAAACCTTGTAAGCACTACTGCTTGGGTGTGGCTAACACAATGTCACAAAGATTGATATAGTACAGAAGGTCTCACCCAGCCTGGCCTCAGTTATAATCTTCCTATCCCTCCATCCCAAGTGCAGAAGTCACAGGCACATGCCATCATGCCTGATCCTTGGGTTTTCATTTTCAGGACTCTGAAAGATTAACTCAGATCCTATAATCTTAACAGAGTCCCAGAAGAGGAACTCTTTTTTTAGTTGTTTTGTCTTTTTGTTTTTTTTCAAGACAGGGTTTCTCTATGTAGCCCTGGCAGTCCTATAACTCACTCTGTACACCAGGCTGGCCTTGAACCCATAGAGATCCACCTGCCTCTGCCACCAATGCCCAGTTCAGGAGAGGAACTCTTGAGAGGTAAAAATATAACTCACTACTTAGCCAAGGTTGGCCCTGATCTTATGATCATTCTCTTCTACCTCCCAGTGCCAATACACACAGCATCCAGAACTATTTACAAACTTCTTGATATTGACATAAAATATGTCTATATTTATATATCCAAGTCCCCAAAAAGAAAACCTTTTCTTTTTTAAATTTCCTGAATATCTGCAAAATACCAAGAAATTCAAATGCAAAGTAATGAAACAAAAATAAGCCAATTTACTGAGTGGTGATGGCAGGGCACACACACCTTTAGTCCCAGCACTCAGCAGACAGAGACAGGCGAATCTCTGAGTTCAAGGCAATTCTGGTCTACAGACTGAGTTCCAGGTCGGCCAGGGATACAGAGAAACCTTGTCTCAAAGCAAACAAACAAACAAAGCCATTTTCTTACTGCTTCCTGCTGCTAAGCATCCCAACAAGAAAAAGAACTTCATACCTGTAGGTCTCCAGCTCCTTGTTTGCATAGCTGATCCTCTCATCCACTTTGGAAAGTTTTTCCTCTTTCTCTAATCGGCAATTTTCCTCCACTGTTAATTTCCTTAAAACAAAGAGTATTTCATTTCTTTTAATGTATGGAACTCATATAATCAACTAAATTTCTAAAATCACATCACAAATGGTGTAACTCACAAAGCAATTTCCATACAACATGGTAAAGGCCACATGCAAAAAAAAAAAAAAAAAGTCTCAGTATTTCTGATATGAAATTTGGCACTATAAACCCAAAATCACATTGTTCTCATTACAGTGCTATTAGTATTAAGAGTCTCGAGTGTTTTACATTATCATAATTTATCCAGTATAAATATTGATAAAAACTGTTATGACTATCATTTATCAAGGTTTCTTGTAGTAAGGCATTACATTTGTTACTAAGAAGCCAACAACTAAACTATGGCTTGTTTTGTTTTGTTTTGTTTTTTTAAAACAGAGTCTCACAATGTAAACCTAAAACTCGCTCTGTAGACCCGGCTGGCCTCTAGTTCACAAAGATCCACCTATGTCAGTTTCTTGAGTGCTAGAATTAAAGGTGTGTAGACCCAATATTTTTAATTGGTAGTTAAAAATAATAAGAGAATAAATAATACCAGCATCAGCTCTAATCCTGCACTACTTTTTTCTTGTACTAATAGTAGGTAACAGGTAACTCACTGAACCATTAGTGTGCGCCAGAACTGTTGCTAGACTTTTATGTGGGCAGCTATACAGGACTATTATTTCCATTGCATAAAAATGAGAACTCAGTGCAGAGAAACCAAACAGTCAGATACCATGTAACAACAGGTCTCAGAAATGAAGCAACCAGCCATTTCACCACTCTGTGGACGTCAGAGTGTACTTACACAAATCAAGATGGCTAAGAATCAGTGGGTGGCATTTGTCACATCTGTAGTTCATTTTTTGCCAACATGTTATTTATTACATGACACTACTGTCACTGGGAGCAGGCTTTGGAGCATATAGCCTCACCCTACTTCCGGTTTCCTCTCTCTTCTTCAAGTTATGATCTCTCAGCTTTCCTGCTCCAAGAACCTGCTCCCACGCTCCCCTCACTGTCACAGGCTCTCCCTCTGGAACTGTACGCCGAAACAAGCTCTCCCTTCTGCTAGTTGCCTTGATCAGAGTGTTTTGGTATTTAGGACTGTGTGTGTGTGTGTTTTGTTGTTTTTTTTTTTTTTTTCCAGCCATCGTATTTATCACAGCAACAGAAAAGTGGCTAATACAGCCTTAAAGTTAAAATGCAAACTCTACTGATAGAACTTCAAAGAGAAATCACATATTTAAAGCAGCACACTAAACTCCTAGGTTTGAATACTTCTTTCCAATATTAAACTTAAAAAAGTGTAAGCAATATAATGTATCAGCCATGAAAAAGCATCAAGAAAATAACTGAATCGAAAAAGGCAATCTAGAAAATAACTGAACCTAAATTATAGCCTATACAGGCAAGAATTTATTCTAACATTTTAACAGTTCTACCAACTTTGTATATCCTACCAACTTTGTATATCCTACCCTGAATAGCTAGTGACATAATTCAGCTTGAGCAGTGAGTGGATTCAGAACAGAATATATAATATTTGGGAATTCAAAATAGAGTGAACACATACGAACAAGATACAATGAAGCTTTTCATCCCTGCTTTGAAAATATACAGAAAATCAATTTTACCTTTGATTTTTAAGCATCACTCATTAAAATTCTAAATAAACTATAACATACACTCAGAAGTCCTTCTTTAACTTCAGATCTATTTTATATGCAAAACTTATTTCCAATATTGTTCATTTTAACCCCAAAACAAAAAATACCCTAATCCAAGGTTTACTAACTAAATAAAACCCTGAGGCTATCTCCCATCTATTTGGTCAAGTTTATTCTCTTTCATAGCCTAAGCCATCCTACAAGGCCCAAAGGTCTGTGGTGAATGGCAAGTTTTAACTAAGTGTAAGTCCAGTACAGAGGTTAGACGCAAATGAGAGTGACCAACCATCCAGCACTCATTTCTCAACAGATTAATGTTCTCTACTCGTTTTCAAGTACAGAGTTATCTGAGCTCATTCTATTTTACTAAGTGACCACGAACTGTTAAGTTAGCAAATACTGGGGCCACTGGTTCCTGCTCTGTTGATCTCTTTTCACAAAACTTATCAACTAAACAATACACAACTTTGATTCCTGTGTAAGTACTTTATTTAAAACTTGCCATGGGACTGGAGAGATGGCTCAACACCTAAGAGCAAACACTGCTCTGGCAGAGGACCCAAGTTCAGTAATTAGTACCCACATGGCAGCTCACAAGCATCTGTAGCCCAGTTTCAAGGGACCCAATGCCTTCTTCAGGCCTTAGGGGGCACCAGGCACAGAAGCTGTACATAGACATACATACAGGAACTCTCACATACACATAAAATAAAAATAAGTGTCTATGGGCTGGAGCAAGAGTTCAGCCATTAAGAAGAGTACACACTGCTCTTACCTGAGCTCAGTTCCCAGCACTCATATCCAGTGACTCATAGCTGCATGTTATCTACAATTCCAGGGGCAGCCAACACTTCTGACCTCTGCTCGCACACTGATGTGCACAGGCTCACACACATTATACATAATTTAAAATAGTAAATAACTTTTTTGTTTGTTTTCTTTTTCGAGACAAGGTTTCTCTGTGTAGCTTTGTAGACTAGGCTGGCCTTGAACTCACAGAGCTCTACCTGTCTCTGCCTCACAAGTGCTAGGATTAAAGGTGTGCACCACCACTGCCTGGCATAATAAATAACTTTTTAAAACTACATAAAAACTGGTGGCAAACACCTGTTCCAAGCACTTGGAAAGTGACAGCAGAAAAATCAGGAGTTAAAGGTCATAGCTGACTGTAATCAGGGTCAAGCCAACATGGACTACATGAAACAGTCTCGAACAAAATAAAAAATGTCTTAGTTAATGTAAGTTGTAGATTTCCTAACGTTAAACTCACAGCCAACAGCACTTTAAGTTATGACCAAACAAAGTTCATCTGATACATGGTATTTTCTCCATAAAATATATCATGGCCTTTTACCATCAAGAACTATTGACAGCACTCAGGCACATACTTGGGGTCTATGCAAACAACTATGGCACCAAATAAACAATTCTCAAAAGATGTGGCACTCAGAGAAGGACACTTGTTTACAGAATGAGAACTGAAAGAAGTTGCTGTGTTAGCCCTCAACCAGGAGTGCTCACAATGGGCATCTCAGAAGCTTTATCATTCTCAGTATACCCACCAAAGGCCATAAAACCTTGGAAAGAATAGGCTTTAAGTTTACAAACAAATTTATCAATAGACTTTACATCACACATACATACATACATACATACATACATACAGAATGTACGAAAAATAAGGGACTTCCAATAACTTCCTAAAGGGAAATAAAAGTCTGCTAGGTTTTATAACGAAAGGTCTATGCTATAATTCATACCTGGAAATCTGCAATTGCTGGATCAGTATCTCAAGGGTCTTCTCTCTGCCTGTATCTGGGCATCTCTGGGCACAAGCACACCCTGCCACAGTATTTAAGTGCACTGAGCACAAATATTGACTGGAAACCTACTATTTTCCTTTCAGTTTAGACATTGGGAATATAAACAAAAATATGATACTTCTTACAGAATTTAAATTACTGTGGAGGACATGATATTCAGAGCACAAAAAGGGCTATTTAGAGAGATAAGGAACAGAATAGAAGCTATTGTCTTAGGTAGGGTACCAGGGAAGCTTCCTTTAAGATGAGAGTGGAATCCAAATCCAAATGAAACAAAGGGTTGAACCATGCAAGCACATAGAACACTAGCATTGCAAGCAAAGAAAGAAAGAAAGAAGAAAAAGAAAAAAACAGGCATACCAAAAATCAAGAAAGCCAGTATCAATAGAGAGAAACAAAGAAAAGAGACATAGAATAGGCTAGAGCTTGCCAAAAGATAGGTACAGTAATCGTGGCTCTGAGAAGTCAACATTAAGTTTTGCTTTAAATCTATTTAAATGCACTTAGGGGTTCCAACATAGTGATAGTACCCACAATTAATGTTTCAGGAGTTATCTGAGGTTACAGAGAAAAGACAGTGCAGGAGATGAAGGCATAAAGAAAATCATTCATAAGGCTACTGTAACGAGCCAACTACTGCCAATGATGGCTTTAGCCAGAGTACTGGTAGAGGGTAAAAGGCCATCAGATTAAAGGTTAGGAAGGTCATTAGGATTTGATAAGACAAACAAATATGGGACACAAAAAGGGCATTGAAGGATGACTAGCAGCTACCCTATACATAAAGCAAATGATACTGCCATTTAGTAACTACAACAAGGAGTATTAAGCAAGACTAACTTGCACAGAAGAAAGGAATCACCAGGCAGTTCCATCCAAAGAGACCATTCAGATTCCGTAATCCGGTTTGTCAGCATTAGTTTAAGGCAATAATCTGATAAATGCTTACTAAACATTAAGGAAGATTTTGTGAGATAGCTTGGAAATTCCAACATATTTACATTTTCTTCCATGAAGAAAAGCGTTCCAGACCAAATAACATTCTTAAAAGTGAATGATATGGCTGGATGATGTGGTACATTCCTTTAATTCTGGCACCTCGGGAGGCAAAGGCAGGTAGATCTCTGTGAGTTCGAGGCCAGCCTGGTCTACAGGAAGAGTTCCAGGCCAGGCTCCAAAGCTACACAGATAAACCCTGTCTAAAAAAAACAAACAAACAAACAAACAAAACAAAGTGAATGATTCTATGTAATTGATAACATCCAATTGATGGGAGATGTCATTCTGTAAATATGTTTCTCATACTGATTAATGAATAAAGAACTGTTGGCCAATAGGAAAGCAAGATAGGTGGGACTAGGAGACAAGGAGGAAGGAGGAAGTGGTAAGGAGGAGTCAAGATGGAGAGTCTGGAGAAAGCAGAACCACCAGCCACCTCTCCCTGGTAAGACCACGTGGAAATACATAGAAATGGGTTCATACTTAAGACAGAGCTAGCCGATAAGAAACTAGTACCTAATCCCCATTAAAATCCCACCACAATTCTTCACCGACCTTGAAAGGATAATAATCAACTTTATATGGAAAAACAAAAGACCCAGGATAGCCAAAACAACCCTACGCAATAAAAGAACTTCAGGAGGCATCACCATTCCTGACTTTAAGTTCTACTACAGAGCTATAGTTCTGAAAAAAGCCTGGTATTGGCATAAAAATAGACAGGTAGACCAATGGAATCGAATTGAAAATCCTGATATTAACCCACAAACCTATGAACACCTGATTTTCGACAAAACAGCTAAAATTATTCAATGGAGCAAGGACAGCATCTTCAACAAATGGTGCTGGCACAATTGGATGAGGGTGTGTAGAAGACTGCAGATAGACCCATGTCTGTCGCCATGCACAAAACTCAAGTCCAAATGGATCAAAGACCTCAACATCAATCCAGCCACATTGAACCTCTTAGAAGAGAAAGTAGGAGGTACCCTTGAACAACTTGGTATAGGAGACCGCTTCTTGAACATAATTCCAGGGGCACAGACACTGAAAGAAACAATTAATAAATGGGACCTCTTCAAACTTAGAAGCCTCCGTAAGGCAAAGGACACAGTCGACAAGACCAAACGGCAGCCCACAGACTGGGAAAAGATTTTCACCAATCCTATATCTGACAAAGGGCTGATCTCCAAAATATACGAACAACTCAAGAAACTAGTCAACAAAACACCAAATAACCCTATTTAAAAATGGGGTACAGAACTGAAGAAAGAATTCTCAATGGAGGAAATCAAAAAGGCTGAAAGACACTTAAGAAAATGCTCCACATCCTTAGCTATCAGGGAAATGCAAATCAAAACAACTTTGAGATACCATCTTACCCCTGCCAGAATGGATAAAATTAGAAACACCAGTGATGACTTATGTTGGAGAGGATGTGGAGAAAGGAGAACACTCCTCCACTGCTGGTGGGAGTGCAAACTCATACAGCCATTTTGGAGATCAGTATGGCGATTCCTCAGGAAAATGGGAATTAGTTTACCACAGGACCCGGCAATCCCCCTCTCAGCCATATACCCAAAGGATTCACATCCTTGCAACAAAGGCATCTGTTCAACTATGTTCATAGCAGCACTATTTGTAATAGCAAGAACCTGGAAGCAACCTAGATGCCCCTCAGTTGAAGAATGGTTAATGAAGATGTGGCACATCTACACAATGGAATACTACTCTGCGGAGAAAAAAATAATGGTATCTTGAAATTCACAGGCAAGTGGATGGCACTTGAAGAAACCATCCTGAATGAGGTAACCCAGTCACAAAAAGAGGAACACAGTATGTACTCACTCATATATGGATTTTAGGCACAGAGCAAAGGATCATCAGCCTATAATTCACACCACCAGAGGAACTAGGATACAAGGTGTATTCTAAGAGATTCATATAAAGCCCCTCAGAGAACTGGAAAGGGACAAATCCCCCAGAGCTCAAGGGAAGTGGGGGGGGGCAGCGAATGGAGAGAGAAGTAGGAGAAAATGAGGGGGAGGAAAGGAAAACATGTACGACCAGGAAGATTGAGCCTGGTTAAGAATAGAAGACAGGAAAGAGAGCGAGACAGAGAGAGAGAACATAAAAGAGGGAGCCAATATTGGTTTGAAGATAAAATTGAATACAAAGAAAGGTCTAGAGAACTAACTACAAGACTGCTCCCAACTAACAATTTGAGCTTCCGTGGAAAGGCTATCATAAATGCCCTTCCCGGAGAGTGAGATCAACAACTAACTTCTCCATGGAGCCCTCAACTAATCTCTGTTGGAAACAGGATCAAACACCCATACATAAACACTGAGTCAAAGTAGAACCCAGAAGCAGATGGAGAGGACAAGACCATGCGGCAGAAACACATACAGACAGCTTACCTGAACAAGGAGGAGCTAACGGCCACTAGATGATAGCTGGGAAGCCAGCATGGGACTGACTCAGGCCCCCCTGAATATGGGTCTCAGCCAGAAGGACTGAGCAGACTAAGGGACCTCAGACAGTGGAGCCAGGATGTATCCCTGGTGCACAAAAGGACCTTGCGAACACATCCCCCATGGAGGGATAACTGCCTTAATCTAGAGACAGGAGAGAAGCCCTAGTCCCTACTTCACATGACCTGTCAGATCTATAAGACCCCAACTGGATGGCATTCCCCTACATATGGAATTGGGGTGGGGGGATGGGAGGGGAGGGTGGTTAGAGTGCATGTGAGAGGGCAGAGAGGGTAAAAGTGAGGGAAGGAAGGAGGGAGGGAGGGAAGGAAGGAGAGAGGGAAAGGGAACTGGGATCGACATGTAAAATAATAAATTAAATTAAAAAAAAAATGCTTTGACTCCAAAATTTAAGTTCAAGGACAAGTTACTGGGGAAAAGGATTTCTATTTTTGTTTCCACAGAAAATGAAAAGATGTGGATTCCTTCCAGACTAATGTGGTTTGATCAAGCCAGATTGCCTGAAACAGAGTAGGAGGTGATCCTACATTCAAAACAGCTGGACAAAGCAGCCTTACAGACTACAGCCAGGATTTCTGAATCTTTTTTTGAATCCCCCATGACCAGCAGGAAGTAGTTTGGAAAGAACGCCCAAATTCCCAAATATTGTCTATAAATGTTTGTTTTCATTTAAATGGACTTTGTTATATAAAATTAAAAAAAAAAGAAAAAAGAAAGAAAGAAAGAAACTAGTACCTGGCCAACAGCATTATATCAAATACAGAGTCTCTGTGTGTTAACTGGTGCTGGCGAGGCGGCAGGACAAGACCAGCAGCAGGCAGAAAAACCTTACTCTTTACATCCAATAATCAATGTGTAAAGCCTCAAATACATTAACACATACTTTACTTGCCATTCACTAGAGTTACCCAACACCTCTCACCTGTGAAGTTTCCTTTCATTGTCTTGGTACAGCTCCCTCATCACTGTGAGTTTCTGCTGAAGCTTCTCTTTTTCATTTTCAAGTTGTGTGTTAGCTGACTGTAGAGACACTTGCTCAGACTCCAAATTTCTGATATGCTCTAAACAAAGGTTCAAAGTCATAAAGAAAATAAACTAAAGGAATTTCATAAAAATAAAACCTATTAAAGATACACGAGATTGGCCAGGTGGTAGTGGCACACCCCTTTAATCCCAGTGAGTTAAAGGCCCACCTGGTCTACAAAGCTACACAGAGAAACCTATCTCAAAAAACAAAAACAAATCTTTAGTCAGATGCCTAGGGTTTAAAAGAATATAGATGGACTCACTCAGGCAATACACATTTAAAAGAAACCTTAAACCTTGGAGGGCTGGAGAGATGGCTCAGAGGTTAAGAGAACTGTCAGCTCTTCTGAAGGTCATGAGTTCAGTTCCCAGCAACTACATGATGGCTCACAACCATCTGTAATGAGATCTGGTGCCGTCTTCTGGCCTGCATGTATGCATTTAATATATACATAATAAATAAATCTTGAAGAAAAAAAGATAATTCACAAGATTGGACATGCCCAGGGTGATACAGCTATAGACAATTACTAAAGATAACAGCAAACCAAAATTTCTCCAGCAACAACAGGAAAATCTCTAAGGTATTTTGTTTGCCTAAATGCTTTTCACTATTTTAACTAAGATGCTACTTTTAAATTGTTAATATTATTATGAGGATCTCCCAAACCTTCAACATTCTAATTCTAGCATCTGATTGTCAACCTGAGAGGTAACAGCCACTGAAGGAAGCTATGAGGATGAGAGTTTCAAATGTGGGCATTTCATTTCAGCATTCCCTATTTCCTATGCTGAATATCTGTTATAACCTAATGAGAAGTGACCTGATGTTCAGGCTGGTGACAGAGCCAAGTGGTAGAGCACTGGCCTAGAACACACAAAGCCCTGTGTTCAGTCACCCATACCATAATAAACCAGCCTTCTTTTTCAGCCAAAATTATTCATGTGCTGTCATTCAAGCTAGCTGATAATAAATGATCATTTGCCAGTTTTCTGAGAGACCATGACTCAAACAAAATGAAGACTGGAAATAATTACTTTAACTTTATTTCAACTGCTAAACTAGGGAATATAGCTCAGTGGTAGAGCATTTGACTGCAACTGCTAAATGACCAAATCACCCACAAAAATGGAAAGATAGCTCAGTCAGTAAGGTACCGGCCTCACAAACATGAGACCCAAGTTTGGGTCCCCAGCACACACATAAGCCCTGTCAGAGTGCTGGAAAGGGAAAAACAGGATCCCTGGGGTTCACTGAGCAGCACAGTCCATGTTTAGTGTGAGACCTTTTCTCAACAAACAAGGTGGAAAGCAACTACTAAAAAAGCCTAACCATAGACCTCTGTCCTCTATACATGTTTGAACACACACACAAAATGGAAACGACCAATTCTAAGTGATTGTGAATTCTGAATAAACTAGTATACAACTGTTACATCTCATTTCTCTTTCGTTATAATTACTACAACTCCAAACAGCTCTAATATTGAAATGAAAATCTCAACTCTGACCTCCTCTAAGGTATCATTTCCCAAAACATGTGTGAACCTATTGAATACAAGAAAAAATGCACTATGACTCAAAAGGGCAGTTTCAAAATCATAACAAACATGGAAAAGTTTAGTAACTATATGTAATGGGATGTAATTATTCAAAATGTCAGCTAATTAAAGAAACAGACCAAAAGAAACATTTGTGTAAATACACTAATAGCTCATGTACAGGAGGAAATCATGCCTAAGTGTTTTCTGCAAAAATTGTACATCTATATCAGAAAAAAAGCCATCTATACTCTCAGCCAAATTCAACAAGTCACTTAGCAAGAAATCAATGTTCAATATAAGCTCTAATATAACTGAATCATACTAATACAAAGAAGCCTTACAAAACAACACAAATTCTTTTATCCTTATACACTCAAGCTCTTTTGTCTCGTCTCATACTTTTATTTTAAAACTTTTAAAAATAAGTTTGGGAGCATGGAGGGCAGTGATGAGGAGAATGGGGAAAAAAAGTATAGCTCAATTTTAAAAAAAAGTGTCTGTGTCTATGTTTGTGTTCAATTCCCAGCACTCACATGACAGATCACAACTGTCTGTAACTCCAGTTCCAGGGGATCTGACACTCTCAGACAGACATATATGCAAGCAAAAATCCAATAAAATAAACAGAAAAAAAATTAAATAATTTTTTAAAAACACCATGAGAAAAGAAAAGTTGGACTTGGAGGAATGCTCTACACAGACACGGCTTTCAAGTATTACTGGGCGGGGGGGGGGGGGGGGGGAGTGTAAGGACTGGCCAAGAGAAAGAGTAAGCAATGGAATAACTGGTGAACTGATTCCTTGCTACACTAGTACTTCCTACTAAGACACATGTACGTTAATATATGCCTCAATGAAGCTGCCTTGAGAACAGAGTGCCAATTCCTCTCTGGATTTTCCACACTGTTAATACTATTCTTCACAGATAGCAGCATGTGTTTTTTAAGTAAGACTAGTGTTTTCTCAGGTCTAACAAAAATACAACTACTATAACTAATGAGTAGCACAATGGTCATTTTTTAGCAATGTTTATCCAGTGGTTCAATCTTTTTAAAAAATTAATAAATAAAAGCCTGTGAGACCCTTCTGGTATTTTTCTCATCAGATCTCAACCCTGGTCTTGGAGGTCATAAAGAAGATAAAGCACATTGAAGCTGGCCTCACAATGATGAAGTCTGATATAGAGCACAGGTCCAGATTCAAAGGGGTCTGGCTGCCATTTGGAAGACAGGAAGTTGAGAATGAAAAGGGAGAAATTTGAAGTTCTAGGCAGCCGTAGCAATGGTTGACTACATACTTGAGACATTTCTTCTCCTCATTGAGAAGATTTTTGTTGTTGTTGTTGTTTATTTCTGGTATGTTTGTTTTTAGCTGTGTAACCAGTGAAGGGACCTTGTCTGTGATCATCGGTGTAGTTAGAAAGAGGCAGGAAAAGCACCAGGCAGGTGGAAATGAAGCTCCATAAGCAGAAGCTTTTGGCTAATGTTGCATGATTTCTGCACATGTAATTGGATTAATAAGCACTGTTGTGGAAAGAAAATATAGATGAGGAGAAATAAAACAAAAAGTTGCCTGTGGTCCCAAACTGAGTTAACCAGCACAGACATTTGAATATGTCCATCCATTCTTTTCAGGTATAAAAATATGAATGTATTTTTTTTACAAAGTGAGACGTGATCCACTTTTTAATCATCCCAACCACAAAGCAGAATTTATTTTTTGATGTGAACACTATCAGCAAAATTTTTTAATGTTCTCAATAAAAAAAATATTTTATAGGTCTAACATCACTCCTATGCTAATAAACTATATACATAATTAATGTAGTAGACCACACTAGTTTCACTAAAGATCAATTTCTCAATTTAAAAAAATTGTAAAGAAAATTTTAAATTTAATGCTTTTTGGTTTTGTTTTGTTTCTTGGTTTTTCAAGACAGGATTTTTCTGTAGCTTTGGAGGCTGTCCTGGAACTAGCTCTTATAGACCAGGCTAGTCCTGATCTCACAGAGATCCACCTGCCTCTGCCTCCTGAGAGCTGGGATTAAAGGTGTGTGCCACCACCCAGTAAATTTAATACTTTTTACATCTAATACTATATCAAACATTTTACACTGTGTGGAGGCTTGAATGAAAATGGTGCCATAGGCTCAGAGGGACTGACACTATTAGGAGGGGTGGCTTTGTTGGAGGAAGTTGTCACTGGGGGTGGGCTTTGAGGTTTCAGATGCTCAAGCCTGAGCCAGGGGCACTCTTTCTTCCTGCTGCCTGCAGATCTGGATATCGAACTCCTGGCTCTTCCCCCAGCACCATGTCTGCCTGTGTGTCTCCACGCTTCCTACCATGATGACAATGGGCAATTGTGAAACTCATCTCCACAGTAGAACTAGTATGGTATACTACTTTAATGTATGTGTAAGTGTACAGGCCAGGCCCTAAAACTCTGAACTTTAAGGCAGATCCAATTAAATGTCTTCCTTATAATAGCAGCCATCATCGTGTCTCTTCACAGCAATAGAAACCCTAAGATGCACCGTACTCCACAGTCCTACATGCTTTAAAGATTATTTCATAAATTTAAGAGAAACTGAAGTACCTTTACCACTAACAGAAAAACTCAAAAGTAATTCATTCGCTTTAAGGAGACATGCTCGTCGAGATATCTTACCTGTAAGATCATTGTTTGTTGTATCTACTTCAGATAACTGAGTGTAAATTTGATTTCTGTCTCCTTCTATGGCTTTTAAAGAAGCACCTAACTTTAAAGAAGGGAAGAAGAAGGAAAGCAATAATCAGTTACACAAAGGACACACACATCCCCGATACATCCCATACTATGGCTCTGCAGTTATTTTCCCTCTGATGATGTTATCATGGACAACATAAAGCCATCAGTGCAGTTGCTAAAGTAGCCTTCACACTATAATATCAGGACTTCTTACACAGATTAGCTAAGAACAGACAGAAAGAATAAACCAAAAGGAAACAAAACTATTATTTACTTTTCAAAATAGTATTTGGAGCCTTTGTGGTAAGAAAACCAGAAGAAAAACACTGCACAAAGAGAACTATGAAATAAATACATTAACATTTTTGAAGTATTTTTAATGGAAGGAATGAGGGTAGAATTTGAGCATTTCTAAATTCTCTAATTATGTGAATTTCTAAAGTTATGATTAAAAAAAAACTGATACAGAAAATTCTAGGGGCTGGAGAGACAGCTCAGTGGCTGCTCTTCCAGTAGAACAGGATTCAACTCTCAACACCCACATGGCAGCTCACGGCTATCTGTACCTCCAGTTCCAGGGAATCCAACACCCTCACAAAAACATGCATGCTGGCACCAATGCACAGAAAATAAATAAATTAAAAGAAAAAGAAAATTCTAATCACTTCTCATATAACCTTATAAGAAAACAATAAAAGCAATCAATCTTTAAATTAGTTACTAAGGACAGACAGATTTAATACCTGCTGTAGGTCCTCCCCCCCTTTATATTTACATAATAATACAAACCTTAGTAGCATAAATTAGCTTCTTCAAAGCTCCCTTCAGCTGATTACCTACAGAGAAAAATAAAACCATAATTATTGAAGACATTCAAATGAATATGTTAGTTCCTCAACTAGTCTTACAACCTCTCTTCTTGTCACAACAAACAATTTGGGGCTGAGCTTTAGCACTTCTTGCCTGTAATTCGAACATTTCAAAGCTGAAACAAGGGGATTACCATGAGTTTAAGGCCAGCTGGGGCTACATGGTGAATTCCAGGCCAACTTAAGCTACAGTGAGACAGTGTCTCAGAAAAATAGTAATTAAAATAAAAATAATAATTTATATAAGGTAGAATGACATACACTCAGGAAGCTAGACATTAAAAGCAATTTAATGTACTACAGAGTCCCAACAAGAACTGAATATTCACCTAAACATTATCCATGAACTTACTATGCTTAGATTCTTAAGGCATTACAGCATCCAAGTTAATTAGTCAACCATGGCTCCAACAACCAAAATATTAGTGAACCATGGCTCCAAATTAAGCAATATTAAACATAAATTCTATTAGAAAACTATTTTTTACAGATAAAATAAAAATGAAAAAAAAAAATAAATACAACTTTAGTATAGCTCCCCTTAAGTTTTAGAACTTAAAAGCTGTATATTTTTAAGTTGTTATAGTGAAGAAATGTAGGATACATAGGACAAAGGAGAAGGAAGCCACAACTCTGAAGAGGTGAAGAAAGATTTACTCAAAAGTCTAGCACGTGAGGTGGAAAGCGTGCATGGCATTTCAGGCAGATCGACAAAATGTGCCAAGTACAAGTATATAAGCATGACACACTGTGGAATGAAGAGGAAACAAGGAGCCAGGGGCCACACCTAAGTACACATCGTTTTCTAAGTCACTGTTCACTTCTAAATCCAGATTATCATCATCAGTTACATCTTCCCCAAGCACAGAAGTCCAATCTTTCATCTTCAACAGGCTCTCCATCAGAGACTGGATATTGAGCAAAAGGAGAAAACAAAAAGAGAAGATAATGACTCATGCTAATAGCTTTACAATTTAGGACTTAACTAATTTAAAATTCAATCCTGAGCCAATGAGATGGCTCGGCAGGTAAAGGCATCTGCCACTAAGACTGATGATCTGAGTTTGATCCCCAGAACCCACATGGTATAAGAATTGCCTCCCAAAAGCTGTCTTCTGAATTCTGTATACACATCACAGAATGCACATACCCCACACATACATACATAAGTAAATTTTTAAATATAATAAATTTTTAAATCAATCCACATTAATAAACCCTCATGTGCTCTAATTTTCTACCTGCCATTAAGATATGTAAATAGTTGTTTGGTATTTATTTTGTAACTGCAAAATTTAGTGACTATTAAACGTTAAAAAATAAAAAAACTTGCTGAGCATGGTACAACATCTTTTATCCCACCACTCAGATGGCAGAGGCAGGCAGATCTCTGTGAGTTTGGGGCCAGCCTGATCTAAAAAGTGAGTTCTGGTAAGAAAGGACTACCTCATGAGACCCTGTATCCAAAAAAAGAAAGAGAGAGAGAGGGAGAGAGAGAGGGAGAGAGAAAGAGAAAAGGAGAGAGAGAGGGAGGGAGGGAGGAAGAATGGAAGGGGTGAGGGAGGGAAGGAAGGGAGGAAAAGAGAGGAAAGGAAGGAGAGAAAAAGAAAAAGGAAAGAGAGAAAATAAAATCAAATACAATGTTTTATAATGGTTTGTTCTTGCTAACTACAAAGCAATCAAACATTTTCTTTTATGTGTATCATGCACACATGCGTATGCACATACAGCTGCAAGAGCATGAGGCAGGAAGATGCAAGTGTCTTCTTCCATCACACTCCAGCTTACTGCCTGGAGACAGGACCTCTCATGGAATCAGAACTAAACTACCCACTAAACCATCTCCCCAGTCCCTAAAATATTTTCTTATGGCACTTCTTACATATCTTACTAAATAAGAGTTGGACTAGAGAGACACCTCAGCAGTTAGGAACTCATTACTCTGCTAAAGCATCTAAGCTCCTTTCCCAGCACCCACATCAGGCCGTTCACAACTACTTGTAACTCCAGCTCCAGGAGATTCAGTGGCCCCTTCTGGCCTCTGCAGGCATCCAGAGTGGCCATTAATATATGGGGTAGGGTAAAAGTTGTGTGGTGTTTCATTTATCTCTGAAAGATACAAAATCTATAAAAAGATCTATAAAAATCTATGCAAAGACCACAGACACCTTGGGCACTGGTCTCACATGCACATTCCTACACACTGGCACATACAAAGACACACAAGTTAAAAAAAATTAACATCTCTTGCTGTAGAGATGGCTCAGCAGTTAAAAGCAGATTATCTTGCAGAAGGCTCAAATTCAATTCCTAGCACTCATATCCAGCAGGTCTCAACTCCCTGTAACCTCAGCTGCCGGGACTCTAACACTTTCTGGTTTCTGAGGGCAAGGAAACTCACATGCACATACTCACAAAAAAAAAGAAAAAAAAATAAGCCATAGATTCTTGATTTATTCAAGTAAATAACTAGCTGGAGAATCCAACTGAGAAAAAGACACGTAAAAAAATTTCAATGGAGCAGAGAAGTTCTCCAACTGTTTTTCTGCTGGTTTTGATATGCCTGCGAATTAAGTACATAAAGCAGGCACATGAAGGTCAGAGGACAAATGAAGTCAGTTGGCTTTCTCCTTTTACTTTTACATGGTTTGGGGACCAAACTCAGGTCATCGCTTTTACTCAATGAACCCTCTCATCAGGCCAAAACTGGTAAGAGCACCATTCTGTGATTGGTTGAATTCAGAGAGTCAACGATATGGCAAACTGTGAATAAAATGAAAGCCAGAACCTCTTGAAAACATTTATCATTTTTTTTTTACATTTATTTATTTAGGTGGAGAGCAACATAGGTGCCATGGCATATGCACGAAGATCAGAGGGCAATTTATTAGAGTCAATTCTCTCCCTCTACAATGTGAGTCCTAAGGATCAAATGAACTCGTGTCAGGAGTGTACAGCAAGTGCTTTTACCCACTGAGTACACTCAATGGCCTATGTAATGTTAATTTTTTATTCCTACAATTAGAGTCAAGTTCCAATTAGTGTATGTGGATATGAACTGAGAGCATACGTATGGGTTCAGGTACACACACCACAACAAACCTACAGAGGTCAGAAGACAGCCTTTGGGGTCAGTCATTCCTTTCCATCTTGCTTGAGACAGATCGCTCTACTGCTGTGGGAGCCAGGCTAGCTGGCCTCAAGCTTCTGCCAGACTCTACACACTACAGGGCACTGGCATTATATACTATGCTACTAAACCCAACTTCTAGGATTCTGGGGATTGGAACTCATATTATTGCACTTATGAAACACATGATTTTTATCCCACCTTCCCAGGCCCAGTTTTAAAGTTTTAAAAAGCTTTTGTTTCAATGAAGTAAGTAACACAAACTTAGTAGATATAGCAAAAATATTCAGCCAATACATAGAAACTATAAACCCAATTTCTCAACCTTTTCTTAATCAACAGCAGCAGATGTCAGAATAATAAGAAAAGGTAAAAATCATTATTTTCTTTCTTTATTGATAAACTCCAGGCTAAAAATACTGGAGAACAAAGACATGGAGTGTTAACATATATATTACAAATCTATGCATCTTCAAGAAGCATTTGAAATGTGACAAAAAACACAGTAGCAATAAAAGCTATTAAAAGTATTTGAATTTCCAATTTATTAAAAGTATTTGAATTTCCAATTAAGTATAAAACTGTGGCTATCTAGTCACTAAAACCAACAAGCCATTACCTTGATCTGCTTTTCTTTATCATTTAGGACTTGTTCAGCCTGTACTTTGGATTCTTCAATTGATACTTTCTGTTTATTGAGTTGATTCATTTGTTCTTCCATGACTTCAGCTTCCTGTGAGAGCTGATAGGAAAACAATAACAAGGATGTGAAAGACAGCAGTGTTTAGATGCATTTACTTAATATCATTAAAAGATATTAAAAAGGTAGGGCTGATACTTAAAAAAGGAATTTGGATGTGGCTCCCTTTTATGAAGAACTTTCAAATCAGACTATAAAATATTCTCCAACTGATTTACAAGGTAAATTTTTATCAAGTACATGGTTTTGATACATACTTGTCTGATAAATCTAGTCAATTCTTTCTATCTTTGTATGCCATAAAATATACCAGATCTCATTAATGATATTTTTAGTCACCATGCTGCTTTGTTCAGGACTATCTGAAGAAAGGTAATCCTCAAGAATACTATTAGTCTGGAACAGATATTCTGCAGATGCTCTTAGCCTGAACTGCACTGTGAGTTCCAGTCTAGCCTGGGCTACATGTAGGACTTTGAAGGAAAGATAAGACACTTTTGATTACAGTACGGGAAATCTACACAGGAGTCCTCACCACCATGTTCTCTGAAATCTAAGAGGACAGAACAAAGATGTAAAATGAAAAGGCATCAACCTAAAAAGAAAATGAACAAATAGAAAGAATGGTGATAAAAAAAAAAAAAAAAAAAAAAAAAAAAAGACTCCATAAAAAAGGGGTAGGGGCCAGACCCATTACTGACATTGTTAAGACCTCTGGTCTCTATACACAGTTACACATATGTATCCCCATGCACACATTAACCTGCTCACAAACATACACACACAAAAAAAAATCAACAAATAAAAATTTTAAATTATCACAATAAATAATTCTAGTAACCCACAGAATCAAGAGTTTCCGGAATGAAAGTGTCCGACATATGACACATCATCACATACCCTCAGAGAGCTAAAAACAACAGAAAGATACTGTTTGTGAAGAAGGAAAAAAGCAGAACACAAAGAAGGTCCCATAATCTACACAGCATTCAAGACTCAAAACCAAAAGTGGAAAGGGAAGACAATGCAGCAATGTCAAAATGTTATTTTAAAAAAATGCAGCACAGCAGAAAGATCTCCGGGTTTGAGGCCAGCCTGGGCTAATAGTGAGTTCCAGAACAGCCAGGGCTGTTACACAGAGAAACCCTATGGCAAAAACAACAAAAACAAAACAAAGCACCAAGAAGTGAAAATAAGTATCTAAATATCAGAAACTCAAAAGGGAACAAGTTGGAGCAACTGCTCACTGGTTAATACCATGCTCTGTTCTCCAAGAGGTCCCGAGTTCAGTTCCCAACAACCATATCAGGCTGGTCACAACCACTTATAACTCCAACTCCAGAAGATTCAACATCCTTTCCTGGCCTCGGAGGGCACCTTAATCATGAACACAAATGCACCCAAATATAGACACATACACATAATTAAAATAATAATAAACTTTAAAATGAATTATTTTTTAAAAATGAAAAACAAGACCTTTTCAGCTATGCAACCTCTTTTTAAAAGTACCTCCTGTACCTCCTTATCTGAAAGTTAATCAAAACAATTAACCACAAGAGTTCTGTTTTGATACAGGAAACAGAACTTTAAGATGAGAAAACAAGAATCCCTGGCAGCTGAGCAGCCTCAAGACAACAAAAGCCCAGTAGAAATGTACAACATGTTCTTCTTTCTATTCTGCTTTCTTTTTCTTTCTTTCCTTTCTTCCTTCCTTCCTTCCTACCCTTCATTCTTTCTTTGTTCTTTGAGACAGAGTTTCCCCTGGCTATAATGGAACTCAGAAATCCACCAGACTCTGTCCCGAGTGCTGGGACCAAAAGTATGAGCCACCATTGCCCGGCATAACACATTCTTACTGGACCAAGAAAATCGAAGTTCACAAAAGCAATGGCTCCCAGAGGACAATGAAGGAGGACAGACAGCTCAGTGTCAAAGAGTGCCTACACTTCTTGCACAAGACCTGAGTTCGGTTCCCCTTCCATATATCAGGAGGCTCATAACTGCCTGTAATTCAGTTCTGTGGGGGATCTGGCAGCAGGCACAGCGACACATATCTATAAACCCAGCAATTAGGAGGCTGAGTACCACAGTGACTTCCAGGTCACCCTGCACTACACTAGAAGACTCTCAAAAAAATAATTAATTAATTAATAATAATAAAAGTTCAAATGAACAAATTAGCCAAAGCAGTTGAGTGAATGACATTTGCATAGAGATAAATTACAAATATGTATTACAGGAAAATAAAACGTTGGGCAACTCAGTATATATAGTCAAGTCAGACAGACTACTATTTAGAGACCCATACTAATGTAAGAAGAAATTCTCACACTACTAAGGTGGGAAGATAGTAAACGCTGTTACACAAGAGAAAAAGGCAGTATGTCTGAAACAAGGTGAAGGTAAGGACCAACACCAAGTCATGACCTGTGCACAGTTGAACTCTCACACCACACACACACACACACACACACACACACACACACACACACACACACACACCTCAATATGCACACTGTAAAAAGGAAGGAAGGGAGAGAGGGAGCAAGAGAGGGAAGGAAGGCAGGAAAAAGACAGAGAGGGAAAGAGGACAGACAGACAGAACTGGGATAACAGAAAAGAGGGCACATGTGTGCCAGTGTCTAGGTGAAAGGAGGGTGAGGATAAAAGCTAAGTTTTCACTTGACATGCTCCCAAAACTCCTTCTTCCTCTAGGCCCCCAATGGGTAATCTGTTAACTCTTACTTCAGTCTCTGCTGTGAGGAGTGGTGTTAGCCGCTGTCTCCTGTGAGTGTCAAAATTCTAAGTGCCTCGGCTAACTTCTTTCATGGGAGAAGATAAGAGACGGAAGGACACACTTTTAAATCCTTTATATGAGACAGAAGTCTGCATGGGAAACAGCCTGCTCTCAAAAGCCTACTCATTCACTACAGAACTCCACATATGGGTGTGAGGTACCCAGAACATTAAAGGCTATATTCAGATCTAAAAGAGTATCTGTAGATTACAAACCTGCTGCAGGCTTTCCTGAAGTTGAGAATTTTCATTCAAGGTATCTTTTATTACTCCCTTAAGTCGTTCTTCATTTATTTCAAATATTCTGAGGGTAGTTTTGGCCTAAGTAAGAGAAATACACAGTTTATAACAATTTAACAGAAAACCTCCTGTTTATGTCATCTCCAAAGAACATAAAATTTAAGCAAAGGTCAAAACATGCCACTACTAACAGCAGATGCATTATCAACACTACTTTGATATAACACTCATTTGCCACGTAACTCTGAGCAAATTATTGAACCTTCTATGTACTATGCAGACAATTTTGTTAACTACTGAAATAGAAAAGAACAATTATTAGTTACTGAATTATTGGTTTACTTAGTGACTTACATAAAACACTACTTGTACTGCCTATTTGCCAAGCATGGTTTCACTTCCTACCAGTAACAGAATGACCTGGAGAAATAGTTGAAACAAGGGGTTGTTGCCCTTAGCAACCTGCTACTGCCATGTACACTTCAGAAAAATCTTGCTTGCTTTCCTGCCCACATTGTGATTTTAGAAAAGAAACCAGACCCAGAATTGAAGGCTTTCAGGAGGAGTCATGCGGACAGTCCACTGGTGACATCTCTCTTCCATGCTCACTACTAGTACAGAAATAGACATTCCAGAAAGATCCCACACTACTTACTCTTTGTCTCCTGCTCTAAACTTTCTGCTGCAGAAAGCAACTCTATTTACTATCATTACATGTTACACAATTTAAATCTGTCCAGGGGAAAATAAATTTCACTCTGAGTAACTCAAGTTAAAACAAATGCATATTTAAGATTCCCTATATTTCAAATACTAACATACTACTTTATTACCTAATGTGATGTCTATTCTTGGTTATCAATGATATCTGGAATTAACTAAAACTCAAGCAAGCTGTGAGTAATTTATCTTAAATCATTTCAAGTGAGAAGACCTAAAGACCTACCTTTAATCTGGATCTTTTGAGGTGGGAAGATCCACCTTTATTAGGGGCTAAACCTTCTGGCAGCAGCCTATCTAAAGGACATGGAAGGAGGAAGTGTGTTTGTCCTGGCATTACAGCCTACTTCTTTGGGATTCCAGTGTATACTAAGTATCAGGTGAGACATGGAGCCTTATGGACTGAGCAACTACTGGATTCTTGGACTCTGTTGGTAGACTGAAATTGCTGGACTAACCAGAACACAGCCTGACAATCACACTAATAAATTGTAATAAATTCCAGATAGACATATGGATGGGTGGGTGGGTGGATAGGTAGGAGGGTGTGAGGATGGGAGGTAGGGTAGGTGGGTGAGTGGATGGGTGGGTGGATGGATAGATGGATGGATGTCACCCCATTAGCTCTGTTCCTCTAGAGAACTCTGACTAATATACTTAATAATAATATGAAAACATAAATGTTCTTCAAAAGTGACAGACCAATTAAAATAATTCAACTTAACTTACTTCAGCTAGTTGTGATTTGACAGACTTTGATTCATCTTCTAGAGATTGTATTGTTTTTGAAATATCACTCATCTGAAAAGATAGTTATCAGTCAGTAAGTATTTAATAAGACCCTTTTGCTCCAAGACAACATTCATTAGTTAGGTACCTTGTTAACTTATTAATAAAAATGAGAGGCCAGATGAAGAGGTCTTGTCAGCTTGTTTACCATAGGCTCACAAGGATTTTACAAATTATGTGGTAACAGTATGTCTTCACAAACTCAATGTAGCATAGCACTTTTCAGGTTCAAGATGAACCCATTAATTCATATTTTAAATAATCTCACACATATCAAGATTTTCCTTATGCCAGAATTTAAAGTTAAAAAAAAAGTTATAAGTATGAGTTAAAATTCACTATGATTATTCAAGTTACATTATTTATGGTTACTTCCACTGCAAATATGGAAATTTTCCATGTAAAAGTACAAGCGAGCCAAGTGTGGGGGTGCACACTTGTAATCCTAGCTCTTAGGAGGCACAGGCAGAGGAAGGTCATGAGTTTGAGGCCAGCCTCACTTACATAGTTATACAGTTATACAAACTGGGCTATATTCTAAGACTGTCTCAACAAATGAAAACAATAAGAAAACAGAAATATGCAAAAAACCACTTACGATCATAACATCTAAAAAGTAAAAATTTGACAGGAGGTGGTGGCACATGCCTTTAAACCCAGCAAACTGGAAGCCCAGGAGCATCTCTGTGAGTTCCAGGCCAGCCTGGTCTACAGAGTGAGTTTCAGGACAGCCAGGGCTGTTATACAGAGAAGCCCTATCTTGAAAAAACAAAAAACAAAACAAAAAAAAAAGTGAAAAGATCAGTTCTGGAAATTTTTGTTCTCATGGTCTTCTACATTCTATATTTACATACATGAATTTCTTGTTTTGTTTTATTTTGCTTTGATTAGATTTATTATTTGGGTGGTTGGTTTTGGAGTTTATTTATTTTTTTAAAATAGTGTGACCTCTCCCTGTGCAGGCCAGGATAGCTTGGAATTCTTACCTCCTCTTCCCAAGTGCTAGGATTACAGGTTTCCACCACTATGGCTAGCTTACACATACTATTTTAATCTTTATCATATTAATATGTAAGATTAATAATTCTCTTGGAATACACAAGACTCACCAATTCATCTTGTTCATGATGCTTAGCTCTCTCTTCTTCTAGTTTCTTCTCTATAAGTAGTATTTCATCTTCAAGTTTAGATTGAGCTCTTTCTAGATTTTTATAGGTTGCCTAAAATGAAAAGCTAACTTTAATATCCAGATATAAGAATTTTCAGTTAGGGTAAAAATCAAATGAGTATAATCAAACAAATTTATAAACACTTTATACATTTGTTCATTTCTCTAATATTAAAATAACACCAGGTCTAGGAGTTACCAGCAACTTCTATAAAAAGTGTAATTATGTCAGGCTCCCATCAGCTAACCATGACAAACAAATACTACCCCGGAAGGAATTAATATGGTTGCATTCCAATAAAACTTATATACAAAGACAAAAGACGGAGGGGGGAAATCCAGTAAGCACAGCTTGTCAACAGTTCTAAAGCTTGTTAAAAAGCATGTTACAGGGAAAAGGGACAAGTTCAATTATCATAGAAAAATCAATTTAAAAATCAACATATCATCATATTTTCCATTTAATGACACTTTCTATAATATTTTTAATTTAAAGTGATTAATTATTAGATTGGTTTTTGGATTTTTAGACACTAATGATTAACATACCTCTGATATTTGTGATCCTTCAACAAACTTGTTAAAAAGAACAAAACCAAAATGTATTATAGTCATCTCAATAACGGTTTACCTATAATCTCCCCAAATTTCACTACTTCACTACAGGACTTCTGGCTTGAATCAAGATTACTCTATTGGTTTGATTTTTACCTACAAAGTCAACTCTCAAGCTTTGTAAAACTTGTATTACATCATAGTTTGTGTCCAACTATGATTATTACCACTAAAAATGGTTTCAATTACTAAAATCAGATAATTTTCTAAGGCATTCAATGTGGTCAAATGTCAACTCATCTTACTCATAATTCACATAAATTTATTGCCATAACAGATGTGTGTTTATATTATCTGTAACACCAAATATGAATAATATTTGTCTTTCTTACCCAGTAACAACATTTCTGTCAGCATGAATGCCAAGCAGCTTCTAAAACTCTTCATGTGTTTTGAGGGTGTGTGTGTGTTTTGAGACAGATTTGGCAATCCTCCAACATTAGCCCCCCAAGTTCCAGGACCATAAGCATGTCCCACACCTGCCTAAATTCCTTTCATTTGGGGAAACTAACAAGTTCCCATTGGGATAGCACTTATAGTAGAGGCTCCACAAATAACACATAGCAATCACAAAAGGTTCTCGAGGCTTACCAAATAAAACATTGCAACTACAAAGAGTTCTTAAGGATATTCATAGGTAACAAATAAAGAAAAAAAATAAGGAATTTATTTGGGGTTTAAATTTCTTGTGGATTCTACAAGGGCATTCTAAATCATAAGACACCGATTTCCTACTGAGGACAGTGGATGACAGAACTGCCACACTGGACTGAACACATAAATCAAAAAGGGACAAGGTTTGTTTTCTATTGTATCATCAACAGTAGCAGGCTGCTTCTACTTACTATACAGGCTCACAACTCACTTTTTACAACCCTTCCATCTGCAAACAGTATCGAGGCACTTCATCACATCCTAATCTGTCTGCTAAAACGAATCATTGTGTCCTCTGAATCAGGAGAGTTAACTGTCTGTCTCTCCTAAACTCTCCATTCAGTGATATGTTACTGACTGAAAACTGGCCATGATGGAGTGTGTAGACAGGGATTAAATATTTATCACCATGCCACTATTTACAATGTAAACCTCTGTTCTAATTGTAGTTAATGCCTACTACCATGGTAAGAAAAAAAATAATATGGTCACAGCTTACTTGTCTTCTACTATGCTTAAATTTATGAGAGTTCTGTCTCTCTCCTGGAACAAACTATGTCAAAAAAAGGAACAGTTTTTCAATACATTCTCAGGAGTACAGAATGAAGGATTTCTCTCTATAAATCTGGTAAACTGATCTTGTATCCCTCAAAACAAATTAATACCAAGAGCTGAAACTGTTTTGTTTTTAAATGTTTTATGCTATCTACAAATGTTCTGTTTCCTCTAACATTTTCTGTAAGGTTTAAGCTCCAGATACACCATTTCATATTTCTCTGAAATAAATTATTTTAGAGAAGATAATGTATTTTTAATAAGAATCTTTTCCCTAGCTTTTAAATCATACTTTTTTTTTTACCTCCAAACTCTGTGCTTCTGTTGACGCCTTGTCAAAGTTGGCCTCCTTTAAAGATGACTCTAAGCCTTCATACTGAATGAAATAAGGCAATACGTGAGTAAAAAACTACAAATTTTATCTCAAATTGTATCTAAATAGATGCCAAAGAAGCAAACAGAATCTATCTCCACATATGTAAAATTCCCTTGGATTTTCTGAGCTTAGTTTTGCAATCTAACCATTGTGCTGAGCAAAGCCAGGTCCGCAAACAAGCCACAACCACCAGCCTGAGCAACATATGGCAGAACTTTACCCTTGTGACTAGCAAAGTTGTCCCAAGTCTGCTGGGGGTGAAAACTCTAACAGCAAGAGTGACTAAAACGTATCTAAAGAAGTGAGTCGTCTACTATCCCCTGAACAGATTAACAGCTTCTCCAGTGTTTTAGTAGAGCAATGTGTGGTAACAGACATTTACATCATGTGATAAATAAGGCAAGTAAGGAAGATAAAATCTGTGAGTTCAGACCAGCCTGGTCTACAGAGTGAGTTCCAGGACAGCCAGGGATACAGAGAAACCCTGTCTCTTAAGTCTCAGCACCTCAGAATGCCTGTTATTTGCAGAAAAAGCCTTTAAAAATAACTAAGTTAAAACGAGGCAGTTAAGACGACTCTAACCTAATAGGACTGGTATCCTACGAGGAGAGCACTAGGACAGAGAGACACAACAAGCAGAAAGCGCTATCTATAAGTCAAGGGGCAGGCCACAGAGGAAGCAAAGCCTGCCTACACCTCCATGGACTGGTTTCCAGAACTGTAAGGAAATTCACTCCTGCTGCTAAAGAGGCATTTTGTCACAGCAGTCCTAGCAAGCTAATACACCACCCAAGTGAAAACAGTAAATAAAGTCTCTACATGATAACAAGTAAAAGTACCTTTACATCCTTGATAAGCAAAAATCTCATGACACATTACGCTACAATAAAATTGTAATTCGAAACCTCTACCTTCTAAGACACCAAACAAAACAGAAATGTAAGTCACAGAGTAGAAGAGATTTGTAATCCATATATCTGACAAAACTCTTACATAGGAGATATAAAATATTAAAAACAAAAGCCCCACTTCTATATGGCATAAAGGGAAAAAGAGTATGAGTGCCTTTAAAAGGAAGGAAACAGGTCAGTGACGTGGCTCCGTAGTTAAGGAGCTTGCTGCCAAGACTTGATAACCTGAGTTCAATCCCAGGGACCCATATGGTAAAAGGAGAAAACTGACTGTTCCACATCCTATGATCACCACACAAATGCCTTCTTGGTTCATGAATGCACACACAGACACAAACAGACAAACACAATAGTAATAAAGTCATCTTTTAAGGTGAAAAAGACTTTAAAGGCAATTTCACAAAATCTACATGAGCAATAAGCAAATCAAGGTGCTCCAACGCGTTCATTAGTCTGGGAAGATAAGCACTGCACACATCACCAGGGTGGCTGCAAAGAGAAGGTGATGAGCAACGGAGCTCTGCTCTGAAACAAAGCTCTGATGGCACTGAATAACACATGGAGAACCATTAAGCTCCACACAGCGAAGGATGTTATTTTCAAACACCTCTTACCTCCTCTTGAGCAAGGCTCACTTTTTCAAGTAGTTCACATTTCTCTTTCATTTGCATAGAAAGTTCGAGAGCCAGTCTTTTCTCTCTTACTGAGAAAGCAAAAGAAAGATTATTATGACTAAAGTGTTATAAGGTTTTAAATTATATACAAACACAAGATCTAAAACCAAAAAAAGATTACTTACCCACATAAAATCGGCTTTGAATCTGAAAAAAAATTTTAACAAAATTGCATTAAAACAAATACACTTTCAAGTAAATGTATATGACTTCTACCCCAGCTTTAAGATAACAACTTTCTTATGGCCTTACAGTGAATGAATTACCCTAAAGCATTCTATTTCCAATGAAAACAATGCTTCATAGTAAGATCTCCCATTCATCAAGATTTATACTATGTGTTATCATACTAAAGCCTCTGAAACAGTCTCATTCTAAAGACAACTGTGTAACTCCACTTAAACACATGTTTCCCACACATATATTTGGCCCTAAAACAAAATATTTTAAATAGGCTACATTATAAAGTCTCCTACGGTTAATAATCAAAATAAAAGTCTATGAAATATCATGAGGAAGCCGGGTGTTGGTGGAGCATGCCTTTAGTCCCAGTACTTGGGAGGCAGAGGCAGGTGGATCTCTGTGAGTTCAAGACCAGCCTGGTCTACAAGAGCTAGTTCCAGGACAGGCTCCAAAGCCACAGGGAAACACTGTCTGGAAATTAAAAAAAAAAAAAAAAAAAAAAACCAAACAACAAAAAAAAAAAAAAAAAAAATCATGGGGCTCTAGACCTGGACTGACTCTAAAAAACTCATTAACCTTTTTCTTTTAAGTTGCAGCTCTCAATGAGGAAGAGATAAATCCACCCTCAAGAGCAGTGGGGCTAGGGTAAAGCAATCAAGGGAAGAAGACAAGACTCATGCCACCTAGAAGACAGAGACAAAAATAAGGAAGGGCAACACTAATAGAGGGTTTCCTTCTGGAGGGAACTAGAAAACCATGAAGAAATTAGAAATCCTGTCAGTCAGAAGCACAAGGACCAACATCTAAAAAGAAGTCTCAGAAAGAAAGGATATGGTATGACTCCCTCCTTAAAAAAAATTAGCATAGGAATAAGAAATACAGGATTCAAGAGAGGTATGGCAGTAGTGTTATTTACTCTAAGTTGGGAGGTAGATACACCTGCTGGCTTTTAATACTGTTTAAAAAAAGCAAACACAGAACTCCCCACCCCCTAAAAAAAGAAAGAAAAAGGAAAGAAAGAAGGGTAGGGCTTTAGTACTAGTGTGTAGTATCTTCACAAAGAAAATCCTTTAAAAATTTCTTACACACAAAAATATTTCTCTAAATCTGTGTTCAGTTTCTAATAACTACGTATTGCCATGAGTAACCCAGAACACAATGACCTAACTCATTTCCCTGAAATAACAAATTTCTCCCAATTAGTTGTTGAGTCTAAATAAAGAATGAGGGTTAGAGAGCTGGCTCAGTGGTTAAGAGCACTTGTTACTCTTGTAGAGGACCAAGATTCAATTCCCATCACCCACATTGTAGCTCACAATCAGTACCAGGGGATCCAACAATGCCCTCTTCTCACCTTTGTGTGTACCAGGAATACATCACACATGCACACGCGCGCGCGCGCGCGCGCGCACACACACACGCACGCACGCACGCACGCACGCACTCACACGCATGTAAAACAGTCATACACATAAAAGGAAATAAGTTTAAAAAACAAAACAACAAACCTAGAATGACCATTCTCTTACTATGTGTGGTTACTTACTGATTGGTAGCCTCTCCAAAGAAAGAAGAAAACGGTAAGCAGTCCAAGGGCAACCACGCATATCAATTCTAATGGTGGCTCACTAGGATCAAAGCTTGCTGTCATATCTTCAGGCACTGCTGCCACAACCTTCAAGACAAAGAAGATAAGCCTATAAACATGCATCCTCCACAGTACTGGTACAAAGACAGGCACAGATGGCTATGGCCAACTCTATTCATATGAATGGGCTGCCATATAATACAAAGCAGAAAGCCTCAAACCACATTTTCTGCCAACTTACAATTGTTCTTACTAAGTGACTAAGTGTGGTGAAACAATAGTTTTCAAAAAGGAGTTATGAGGAGATTCCTCCAGGAGGGTTAGAGGATAAAGAGAGTGTCAAGAAAAGAATGTTGTGGAATATTTTAGATGTTTTGCATTCTTTTATGTTGCATTTGTTTAACTCGGTAAAACTGTGTTACTTTGCCTGTCTAAAACACCTGATTGGTCTAACAGCTGAGCAGGCCATTACAGAAGAGAGGATAGGCAGAGCTGGCATGCAGAAAGAATAAATAGGAGAAACCTAGAGAAGATCGAGGGACAAAAGGAGAAGAGGAGGAGGACACCAGAGGCCAGCCACAGAGTATGAAGAAAGGCATATAGAATAAAGAAAGGGAAAAAGGCCAGAGGCAAAGCATAGTTAAAGAGAAATGGGATAATTTAAGTTAGAAAAGCTGACTGGAAAAAAGCTGAACTAAGGCCAGGGATTCATATAAATCTCCATGTATTTATTTGGGAGATGGGTGGGGGACCCCCAAAGAATCCTTTTAAAAAATCCAACTACAACAGAGTATCAATGACCTGGGTTGGGTGATTTTCCCTGACTTCAAGTTCATGACTTATCTATATGTACTGGGTTTGACAAAACATTTCCCTACACAGAGGAAAAACACAGATCTGCAGTTTGTTGGGTGGGGAAAGGGGAGTGGTCGGAAACAACTAAAAGAGCTTTAGATTTGGGATTCAAACCCTTCCCTCCTGGCTCTTATCTTGAGTTAAAATAATGCAGTTTAAGCCCAAGAAGAAAACTGCTCTTTGAAAAACAATCCTAGGAATAATTGGCTTAACTCTTTCCAGGCATCAACACACACTCTCTAGAACCTCCACAGCAGTCATCCACTTTGGGGGAGGGGGGTCTGACAAAATAAACAACAAACAAATTCTTTGATGGTTACTACAAAAAAAACTATTTTTTGCTAGTACATGACAAGGACCTCTTCCAAGCTGCTATCTACAGTTTATTAACTTCTACCAAATAAATACATGCAATATTGTGCTTTTTTTTTTTTTTAATCCCTGTATCTTTATTTTCCTTTTTACATCTGTGACTCCAGACAGGATCCAAAGAGGAGGTGCACAGCCTCTGCTCTGGGTTTCATGGAGAGTTCCTTTACCCTTCTGTGTTAGCCTCCTAAGGTACAGCACCAACCTTAAAAGGGCTCAGAAAAGGGTGAAAAATCTTTTATCCGAATCTCGTCTCTCCCTTCCTCCCCTGGGCCCAATACACAAAAGTGGGATACCACATTGCTAAGCAATGATAAAAAGGATTTGCCTCCAGAATCACAAGGACAGATATTCAGTCAAGTCTACTCTCTCCATCATCTCTCCCCATAGATCATGAATGTATAACCAAGCCCTCTGCATTCCTTCTTAAATGCAGTTGATTGCATATTTTACCTCTTCCTGAGTCCATCCTCCTCAGTAGGTTATTCTATTCTTTAGCGCCAGGCCCCAGATACTAACTGATCATAAACAGGTGAACTGACTACTCTGATAGCAGATAAAAAAGACTTTAGGACAAAAACTGTTACTAGAAACAAAGATGTGATGGCGAAGGCTAGCTCAGTCTTTAAGAGAACCACAAAATGAAGAAAATCTGGTGAAGTAAAGGAAAAAACAGACCATTCATCAACAGTAGTTAGGGATTTCAAGATCTCACTTTTAGTGAGTCAGCATTAAAAGAGAAAACTGGAACAACACTACAAAACAGACTAACATACTAACAAAATACTAAACAGCAGAAAGACATTCATTCTCAAATGTACACAGAAGATTCTTCAGAACAAATCCATGAATCAAGCTAAAATAAACTTCAATTTTTTTTTTAAATAATCAAATCACAAAGCCCAGCCCAGAGAAACGGCTCAGCAGCTGAACACATTTGCTGCTCTTGCAGTGGACTAGACTTCAGTTCCCAGAACCCATGGCAGGCTGCCCCTAATTCTAGCTCTGGGAGATCTGAGGCCCTCTTCTGGCTTCCTCAGGTACCTGAATCCACAAGCACAGACACACACACATATACACACATACGCGTAATATAAAACAGTAAAAATTCATTTAGAGAATTCACATCTTGCTGGGCATTGATGGTACATGCCTCCCAGCACTAAGGAGGCAGAGGCAGGCAGATCTCTGTGAGTTCAAGGCCAGCCTGGTCTACAGAGCTAGTTTCAGTACAGGCTCCAAAGCAATATAGAGAAACTCTGTCTCAAAAAAATCAAAAAAGAAAAAAAGAAAAAGAAAAAAAATCACATCTTAAGATGTTCTCTGATTATAATGAGTTAAAATTAGCCATCAAAAAACAGGATGGGCTGGAGAGACTCAGCAGATAAGAGCATTTGTCATTCTTATAGATAAATGACCCAGGTTTGGTTCCCAGCACCCACATGGTGGCTCACAACCATATGTAATAAGATCTGGTGCCCTCTACTGGCCTGCAGGGATATATGCAGACAGAACACAGTATATATAATAACTAAATCTAAATAAAAAAGTTATTGTGCCAAGCAGATGGCTCAGCAGGTTAAGAACTTTGCCACCAAGCCTGAAAACCTGAGTTTGACCCCCAGAACCTACATGGTAGAAAAAAAACAAGACTCTTGGGTCTTTGGATTTCCATGCACACACACACACACACACACACACACACACACACACACACAGAGAGAGAGAGAGAGAGAGAGAAAGAGAGAGAGATGAATGCAATTTTCAAGTTTAAAAAAAAATCAATGTCATATACCACAGTAAAAGAAATAAAGAAAAAAAGATCTCAACAGATACTAAGAAAATATGTGACAAAAATCAAACACCTAGGATTACATTTCTCAATCTGACAAACAGCACCAACAGAAGACCCACAGCTAACACCATCCTGAAGGGGAGAGAACTGTTCCCCTACAAAACACAACACACATCCACACAGCCCACTGAACCACAGAAAATCCTGTCAAGTCTGCAAAATCTCTCCATGTCCCTCATCCCCAACCTTAACAAAACCAAGTGTTGGCAACTGCTAGCTGTGTGTGTGTGTTATGTGTCTGCTGCATGAGCATGCACAGAAAAGCCAGAGGCTGATGTGGCAATGTCTTCCTTCTCCACCTTAACTTTTCTGAGACAGGGTCTCTCACTGAATCTAGAGCTCACATATACTCTGCTAGGCTGATGACTACTGAACCTGGGATTCCTCCATACACACTTCCATCCAGCATTTATATTGCCTTAGAGGGCTCCAACTCCAGATCATGATTGCATAGCAAGCACTTTCCCCACTGAGCCAACTCCTTAGGCCCTAACTGTTGATTTTGAGGGCGATGTGTGTGATCTGAAATTACCTCTCACCTACAATACTATACGATTCTCTTTCTGTAAACCCCATCTCAGTAACTTGGCTGACACAGCCAGGAGTTCAGGATTACTCCAGATTCTCCCCAGCTAATCAAGAAAGTCATACCCATTTTACCTCTTACTTCTTGCCCCGTTTAGGACCAACTTCTGTACCCTTACCACTGTCAACTCTCCTTCTCTCTCTCTCTCTCTCTCTCTCTCTGTGTGTGTGTGTGTGTGTGTGTGTGTGTGTTTCCCTGACATCTGAACTACACACTATCAGGAAAATCTATACATTTTTTCCTATAGGTCTCACCACTGAAGAGCCTTTGGTGGTTCTCTTGCACCCCACAACAGTCCTTGGGACCCGCTTGTCTACAGTAAGCATCAGTTCACATTACGCCCTTGGCTCACTTATGCTCTGAGCAGCAGAACTCCTATACATGCTATGTTTTCACATCTCATCCACTTAAACTTATTTGCTAGTCTAAAGAACAACCCAACCCAAGAAAATACAATCTCTCCCTTCCCTTGTTTTGCACGAAGTCTGCTATAGGCAACAGGCTTCTACTGTGGATTAATTTTGTGTGTTCTCTCCCTAAAAAGCCAACATGATGACAATGACCAAAATCCTTAGTTCATTTAGAACCTGCACAGAGCTTTTTCATTCATGGGCAAATGAACCGTGAGCATGACATTACTGCTTTAAATTCACAGAACATGAAGATAATTAGAACTGGTTAATTGGAACAGCTGCAATATTTAAATGGTCTTTTTAAAAATGCAATGCAGTTTTCAAAACCTGTGTGTGTTGTGTGTTGTGTTGTGTGTTGTGTTGTGTGTCCCTAAACGAGTTAACAACACAGCTACCTGCAAACACTTAAAGAGCAAAATCTCTGCCACCTGGTTACAAAATGAAACAGAAAAAAAAAACAAAACCCATATATACTTTGGATCCTGAGCGTTCACTATCTGTAGAATTTACAAGAACACCTTTTACACTAACAATACAAAAAAGAGGAAGGAACTCTACGGTTCAAGCATCTACAAAGGGCATTCTTTACTGGGCAAAAATAATGCAGAATTAGAATCTTAGCTCCGGCCCCGGCTTAGGTGTCCTCTTAAGAAGTTTCATCACCAAGAAACTCCAGTTTCCCCGCAGTCAGAAGAACCACGTGTAACTGACCCCTGTCCAAAACAAATAACGCTCAGGAAAATTAACTCGGGAGTCGGGAACCACACGGGCCACTCTGGGACTTCCAACTTGCCTTCCGGGTCGCCGGGACCCTTCCCCGAGCGGCATTCAGCAGCCGAGCACAGGCCGGGCGGGCGCGCCGAGCTCCTGCTTCCCCGCCACGGCCGCTCGGCCCCACCGGGCCCGGGGCTCCCGCGCCCAGGACTCACCCCGCGCAGCAGCTCCAAAATCCGCCATAGGCACACCGCGGCGGCGGTCCGGGGCCCCGCCATCGCCGCGCCCACGGTGCGGGGCCTCGCAGCCGGCCAGCCGGCCAGCAGCAGACCCGGGCGCAGTCAGCGGGGCGCTGGGAACGGGAAGGCGCCGCCGGCCGGCTCGCACCACTGCGGCCCTGTCAGGGGAGCCCTCGTCGCACCCCCGGCCTTGGTCTCGCCGGCGCGTCGGAGACGCCCCCTCCACCGCCTTAGCTCCGCGGACACGTCCGCGCTCGCACTTAAAGGGCCCGCACTCCGATCTCCAACACCAGAGTACGGAAGAGTTGGAGCACTTCAAGCTGAAGCACCGGGGGGGGGGGGGGGGGGGGGGGGGCTGCAGCCCTGCACCCCGAGGCCTTGGACACAGCCCCGGAGTGAAAGCGCGCAGACCCCTCGTCCCAGCTCCTATCGCACTCTGTCCTATCCTCTGCAGTCCAAAAACCACAGTGTAGTAGCCCGTAGTCTCCTACGCAAAGACACCGACCTCCGTCCTAATCCGGGTCAGAAAATGGTCTCTGGCGCAGGAGACGACGCGTCCGCACTTCGAACTCTGAACACCGAGGCTTTAGTGTCTACTGTGTGCTCTGGTCGGAGTTTAACCTCTCCTGTTCAAGCACACTTCGATCCTCCTATGCCCAGCATTCAGGTTCACTCACCTGAGTTCACCTACTAAGCACTAGACAGGCTCCCCTGGCTAAAAGTCCGCTGGAGCCCAGGTTCCTAAATCAAGCCGGTGAGTGGACTTCTGCTCTGCACCAGACGCACCCTGAGAAAGGAACTAAACTTAGCAGCTTCTCCTCTAAATTTAGGGCTCTATTTTTACAGCCATTGCGTGAAGTACTGGGAAAGATGATTTATTTATTTAATCGATAACCTGTCTCTAACGTATGTCTTCTTTACCGACACCATCATCTTATCCAAAACTTCAGTGAAGTAATTCAGACAGGAGCAGCTAACCCAAGAGAACTTGATAAACGGATCATAAACTCTTTGTAAACTTCTGCAATATAACCTTCTAGTGAAAACATCACTCTCATGACACAAGCACTCACACACAAAATCAGAAACATCTACAGTTACAGCCAGTGATTTCAGACCAAACTGAGGCCTACTTTGTTGAAACTCAAATTGTTCTTTGCCACATCACCCTAGGGAGTTTCAGAAACTGCTACTTTCGGAGATAGCACAAGTTGCTCAATACTCCAGCTTTAAGGCAGTGCACAAATTTCATACGTTGGTGTATAAATTAGCTTATGTAAATACTAAAGCCAGAAGTGTAATTGAAATTTTATCTTTAGAATTTCAAAGATGCGTAAATATTACTCAATATTACTCAAATAAAAATTCTTCAGTGGGTCTGGGCATCTTTAATGGGCTCCAGAATCTTACTGGGATTTTAGGATCTCTAAATAGAAAGGGAAAAATTGCTTTGCTCAGCCGATCTTCCCTACATTAATATGTTCCCCTTTCCAAGTGTTACTGCAGAAATGAGACAAGTGAAATTTGAGAAAGAAGAAAAACCCAAGCATACCTATAGCAAACATAGTAAACTTAATAGTCAGTGCAAAGTCCTAAATCTAATTTCTGAACACAATCACAGAGACATTTACCTCTTCACCCAGAGCTTCCGGGTCCATATCTTAGGAGGTTCATGTTAAAATACCCTAACATGTAAAATAAGTTCTCTTGACTACTTCATATCCTTGAGAAAGATTCCAGATTTTAAACCTTCTGCATTTCCGTGTCCACACAGAGTGTGATCCTGTTTTGACACTGAGAAAAAGGGGTACTACAGGTGGAGCTGTGACAACCAACCCATAATCCAATTTCATGGACCCCATAACTTATTAAATATATGTGTGCACACATATGTATACCTGTATGTAGGTATTTTCTTAAATATTATACATATCACATTAAAATCCACAACTGAAAAAAATCCTAAGATTACTAATTACTATTATTCTATAATCTATTCAAACAAATTTCTACCAGATGAAAGATATTCAAAGACTGTTCTCCATAAGTAGATATGAGATTTTATTATCTTATTAAGGACCAGCTTTCAAGGAAATGGACAGCAAATGCTATAAGTGCTCATAACCGCTATGGCAGCATCCACAGGCTCTAGACATTGCTAACCAGAAAACCTAATCCACAGCCTAGAAACTTGTTTCCCTCATGAAGGCCCTATGTCAGAGCTGTAAGGACTAGCTGCCCCCACTTAGTTCAGCACTAGAGATGCACATAACACAGAAGCACTCTTCCTTTGGAAGGAAATCAGCACTGCTGTCCCACATTGCTATTCTCTGTCTGTATGATGTAAGAGTTGTTCTCAGAATATGTTGAATCAGGAGCTACCTGTTCAACCTGAATGGGCCATCTCCTTGTCTATGACACCTATAAATGAATCATTCTGTGGAGTAGATGAATGTTAGAACCTCAAGAGGTTCCTCAGCTATAAAATAAAGATAAAAAGCTGTGTTGGCTGCTATTATTTGAGTGATACAAGGAAGTACATATACACATAATATATCTGAAATACTAATTAAATCAAGCAATCACCTCAACTGTGAAAGAAAAAATATCACTCAAGATTAACTGGTAAATTGCTTTTTTTTTTTTTTTTTTTTTTTTTTTTTTTGGTCTGCAGTAACTTTTCAGATCTGTTATGGGTGCCTCAAAGCTGTGCCAGATTGCTAGGTTCCAGGTTTGTTAGAGGTTCTTCAGAACATTTAATCCTATGATTGTGGGCTGTGGGCTCCAAAGAAGCCAAGCAGGTGAAATCCATGCAAACAGTTATACAGTACAAGTCTACATTTGTCATTAGTACGAGCCTGTGCTTCTGGTTGCCAGACTAGAAAAGTTTCTACAACAATCTTTTAGCTTTTTGAGAGAAACCGAAGTTAAATGAACTCGCATTTTAAATATTGACAATTGACTGTGTGGACGTGTGTGTGTGTGTGTGTGTGTGTGTGTGTGTGTGTGTGTGTGTGTGTTCACTGTTTTTTGTTACAGTTGTTCTCAGTACTGGGGAACTAAACCCAACACCTGTGCAACCCAAGCAAGTTATCTCCTCCATGGAGCTGGATCACTCACTAGATCACGTTGCCAATGTGGTGATATTTTGTTTATCATCTAACAAATAAAGCTTGCCTGAAGATCAGAGTGCAAAGCTAGCCACACTAGTTAGCCATAGAGGACAGTGGTGGTACATAACTTTAATTCCAGGACTCAGGAGACAGAGGCAGATGTGAGTTCAAGGCCACCCTGGGCTACACAAGATTGAATCAGTCTAAAAGAGAAACAGAGCTCACACAAAGGTGATCTCAGCACTTGGGATCCCATGCCTTTAATCCCAGCACTAAAGAAGAATGTAAGGCAGGAGAAGATATGAGCCAAGTGAGTCTGAGGTTCAATGGATCCCTCTTTTGGTCTGAGCATTGGTAGAGGTGAGAACTCTCTAGTAGCTGGCCACTTTGCTTCTTTGATCTTCAGCCTTAATCTGTCTCTGGGTTTTTAATATTCATGCTACTGCCAGTGCAACAATGACTTTGTTTTGTTTGTTTTTACCAGGCAGGGTTTCTCTGTGTAGCTCTGGCTGCACTGGAACTCACTTTGTATACCAGGTTGGTCTCAAAGTCACAGAGATCGGTCTGCCTCTGCCTCCAGAGAACGGGATTAAAGGTGTACACCACCACCTTCAGGCCCAACAATGACTTTTAAAAAATGATGTACAACTTCATAAGGAACTTGTTAACTAGTCTCGGGCCTGAACACTGAAGGTTTAATACTAAGATGCCTTCTCCAAAGATACAACTTTCCAAGACCACAAGATAATTAAAATAAATTTAAATTCAATATTTTCATGTCTAAATAATTTCAACCAAGATAATTAAAGAAAATATAATTACTAAACCCACAAAGTAAGCACACTTAGTAGGTTTCATTAAATAAATACTTTACAGAGACTCAAATATCGTGCTCTAATTAGTAAATTATTTTTTCAACTTCTTAATTTCTCTGGTATAATTTTTAGTGGAGGATATTTTTGTTTGTTTGTTTGTTTGTTTTTCCCCCAGATAGAGTTTTTCTGTGTAGACCTGGCTGTCCTGCAACTCAGTCTATAAACCGGGCTGGCCCTGAACTCAGATTTATTTGCCTGCCTCTGCCTGCCATGTGTGCCACCACCATCCAGCAGCAGAAGATTTCTTTTGTACTAAATACTAAAGTATGGCCTTGTTGCAAAACTATACCTCATTTAGTAATAAGTTTTTTGTTTGGTTGGTTGGTTGGTTTTTGGTTTTTTTGATACAGGGTTTCTCTGTGGCTTTGAAGGCTGTCCTGGAACTAGCTCTATAGACCAGGCTGGTCTCGAACTCACAGATATCCAACTGCCTCCAAAGTTACACAGGGAAACCCTGACTCGAAAAACCAAACAAAAAAGAAAGAAAAGCATTATTAACAATCTTTTTTAAAGAAAATTCCTACTGGGCCATAGTGGTGCATGCCTTTAATCCTAGCATTCATGAGGCAGAGGAAGACAGATCTCTGAGTTTGAAGCAAGCCTGTTCTACAGATTGGGTTCCAGGACAGCCAGGGTTACACACAGAAACCTTGCCTGGAGGTGGGGGGATACTCCTAACAACATCTATTAACAAAACCTTTATCTAAGGAGAACTCACACATAAGATTTCATGAAAAGGGAAGCGCTGTGAGGCTTGTAGAGGGAAGAGTCACTCAAGCCTATTTAAAAAAAAAAAAAAAAAGATTGCAAGAGATTTAAAAGTCCATTGGGGTAGGTGAGATGGCTCATCTGGTAGAGGTGCCTGCTGCCAAGACTAATAGGTTTGATGCCTAAGGCCCACGTGGTAGAAAGAGAACAAACTGTCCTCTGACCTTCACATATATATTGTTGTTCACACAAGCACGCACACACACACACACATACACACACACACACACACAGAGAGAGAGAGAGAGAGAGAGAGAGAGAGAGAGAGAGAGAGAGAGAGAGAGAAATTAGATAAAAATTTTAAATCTGAGCTGACCTGAACAAGGAGGAGCTAATGGGCCCCCAGACTGAGAGCTGGGAATCCAGCATTGGACCGGCTCAGACCCCCTGAACTTGGGTCTCAGTTGGAAGGCCTGGACAGCTTAAGGGACCTCTGACAGTGGAAACCAAATATACTCCTGGTGCGCAAAAGGACTTTGGGAGCACATTCCCCATGGAGGGATACTCCCCTAACCTACAGGCAGGAGGGAGGCCATAGACCCTGCTCCAAATGACTTGACAGATTTAGATGACCCCTCCTGGAAGACATCACCCTACATGTGGAGGAGGGGGATGGGTTGGGAGGGTGGGGGGGCATGGGAGGGTGGGAGAGAGGGAGGGAGAGGGAACTGGGATAGATATGTAAAATAAGAAAAAAGTAAAGTAAAATAATTAAAAACAAACAGAAAAATTTAAATCTGACTCACCCTTTCTATAAGAATTTCAATTGGTGAAAAAGCAAAATTCATGAAGCCGTAGACATCGATTTGAAATAAATACTTCAAAATCTGAAACTCTGCATCATGTTCTGTTGTTTTAGAAATAAAACATATCACCACTTGATATATAATTTCTGAATCTAATTTCTTCTTTGGCCAATGAACTAGAACAGGTAAGCATCTCTTACCTTTTTGAGAAACCAGCTGACTACGGAGCAACACACCTTCCACAGATGTGTCAGCTTCTGCCACAGCAGACCCTTCAGGGTCCACCCATGATTCTGAATCTTCCTCATACCTGTTTGAAGATGAGGTTTTGGAAAGTATTCCTTCATGGGATCTCATAGGTAACTCTTCTTCAGAGGCCGTATCTACAAATACATAAAGAGAAATGTCTTTTCTAAAATACTTGCTTCATAGTTGGCTCCTTTTTATTTTCCAGAAAGTTATTGTTTGAAGCAACATGACCACTGGTATGACACTTCATTTGAGAAAATGCACAAATCATTAGCCATGGCCTGTACAAGTTCTTAAAGCAATGTGACAAATGACCACAAGCTTTTGGCTTAAGTAATAGACTTTTCTCTGTTAGACTTTTGGAATCAAAATCTTAAAGCCATATTTGCAAAACTATGTTCCTTCTGGAGACTTTAAGAAAAATTCAGATCCTTGCCTTTTGTAGCTTTCCTGAAGCATCCCCAAATCCCTCGCTTCATAGCACCATTCTCCATTTCACACCAGAGGTATAGAGTCTTCTCACCTCATACTTGCATTGTCCTGCTTTCTTCTCATGAAGAACCCTGAGATTACATTGTACCCAGAGAATAACCTCTGAAGTCCTTTGTGCATGTGACATAACATGCCCATTCACAGGGCTGGAGGTTAAGACAAGCCTTGACCTGTATGTCATCTGACCTATACGTCAGATTGTCAGATGACTATATAGTGCTTCCTTTATACATTGACCAAGATAGATCAAAAAAAAAAAAAAAAGAAAAAGAAAAAGGAAAAAAAAAGAAAAGACTTTACTCAGATCTATTCCATTCTTTCATTTTTTTGTCCTAAAATTTGTGTTTTAAGCAAGCAAATATAATTTTCTAAAAAGATTAAAACATGGAGGGAAAACTGAAGCCAAACAAGGTAACCCAGGCCTGTAATCCCAACATTTCATAAACAAAGACAGGAATCACAAATTCAAGATCAGCTTGACCCAAATTCAAGACCTAGCAAGACCCATATTTTAAAGAAAGGAAAACCAGAAACTAATAAACATCAACAACTTTCTTCTACTATATAAGCTCATGATTAAGGACAATAAGCAGATCCCATTAAGATTTCATTCCTTGCCAGGCAATGAAGATGCATGCTTTTTATCCCAGCACTAGGAAGACAGACAGACACAGGTAGATCTCTGTGAGTTCGAGGTCAGCCTGGTTTACAGAGTGAGTTCCAGGACAGCCAGGACTACAAAGAGAAACCCTGTCTTGAAAAAAAAAAAAGAGAGAGAGAGAGAATCCTACAATTTGTCCTCTGATCATCACATACACTTCTTGACACATGCATACAAACACATACACACACACATAAAAATACATATTTTTAAAGTAAGTAAATAATTTTTTTTAATTTCATTCCTGAAGCTGGAAGAATGGCTCAGTGGTTAAGAGTACTTGTTGTATTTGCAGAGGACCCAGGTTCAATTCCCAGCCCCCACATAAAGGCTTAAAACCATGTATAACTCCAATTCCAGTGGACTCAATGCTGGTTTCTGGTGGTTCACAAACATACCTACAGGCAAAACACTCACATAAATAAAATAGTAAAATTAAAAAAAAAAAGATTTCTGCCAGGCATGGTGATACATTCTTTGATCCCCATGATCCCCACACTAGAGGACAGAGGTAAGTGAATCTCTAAGTTCGAAGCCTTCTTGGTACAGAGCAAGTTCCAGGTCAGCAAAGATTACATAGAGAAACCCTGTCTCAAATAAATAAATAAAATATTTCATTCCTGTTAGAAACATGTGTGTAAAAAGATAAAATATGCAGACAACACTCAATGAAACAGATTTTGCTTACTTTATCTGTTAGATAACCAGGGAATCAGAATGATCAAAATTATTTACAGTATCTACAGGATGCTCAGTATTGGTAGCTAACTCTATGTCATATATAGAACAAATAGTTACAACAAGAAAAGCCATTCTAGAACTTACAGTAATTGATCTCCAAGTTCCAAAACTTGTGTAAGTACTAATATGCACCACTAAATATAAAACCTAGTACCACTCAAGCGCGTGCATCTGGACACATGTGTGCACAGCACCTGTGTGGAGGTCAGAGGCCTTTTGCGGAAGTCAATATTTTCCTTGTACTGTGTGAGTCCTGGAGATCAAATATTTATACAAAAAAAGACCAGAATCACTAGGCTATTAGGAAGAAGTCTGAAAATGATAAGGTACCAATCAAATGTCACACATTGTCCTTTATGCTCTTTTGAGGATTCATTCCATTCAAATTCCATCCTTAGTTGCCCCTTTATGTTCTCTTTTGTTTTTTCACATTTTTTTGAAGATAAGGTTTCTCTGTGTAACTCTGGCTGTCCTGAAACTTATTCTACAGACCAGGCTGGCCTTGAACGCAGAGATCAGTCTGCCTCTGCCTCTGCCTCTGCCTCTGCCTCTGCCTCCCTAGTGCTGGAATTAAAGGTGTGAACCACCAGGCCTGGCATTGGTTGTCCCTTTAATCCCATGTCCATTCCATTCCATTAGTATATACCATACCATACCATACCATACCATGTCATGCCATGCCATGTCATGCCATACCATACCACACAACACCACACCACATAGTTGAGGGAGCAAACAGAAGGCTCACATTTTGGAGAATATTGAGATATTAACAGTTCTCGAAATACAGGAAAATGTATTGGTTCTAATGCAAATGTGTCCCCTTCTGAGTGGAGGGAGGGGCAACCATGACCAGGACGGAATATATGAGAGAAGAATAAATGAAGTAAACAAATAAACAAACAGAGTGTGTGTGTATTTGGGTGTGTGCGAGTGTGTGCATGTGAAGGCCTGAGTGAACATCTTCTGTCCACCTCGGTTGCTCTGCACCTTACTTACTGAAGCAAAGTCTCTCACTGAAGTTGCAACTCAACAGTTCCAGCTAGTCTAGGCAGCCATCTTGCTCCTGTATTCCTCTGCCTCTGCCTTCTGGTGCCAAGTTTACAAGTAGCCACCATGCCTGCACTGCTCTTCCTCTGTCTGGGGAGAAGCCAAATTCCTCCTTGTGCCTATGCAACAGGTGCTTGGTACACTGAACCATCTCCCCAGTGCAAACGTGAAACTTTTCATCCAATAGGTACGTATGAAAAGAAATTAACAAATACATTATAAATCTTCTCATACCAACCTGACAGGCTGTGTCTGTCCTCCAGTATCATGGAATCTTTCATGCTCTCTGCAGCAGAATGTTCAGTGGAAAGTTCTTCAGCTTTGTCATTTTCAACTCTATTATCTTGATCCAGCATCTGTGTCGAAAATGGTAACTCTGTGTCCTCTGGGACACTCTGGAAGCTCCAAGGGTTATGGAAGAATTTCTTCAGATACTGCAAAGAATCAGAATTATCTGTCTTTTCCAGGGCTCTTTCCTCATCTACCTGATCTTCTGTTTCCACAACTGTTACCATTGTCCTTTCTTGTTCCTTTCCAGGGTCAAAGGTATTTGCTATAGGATCTTTGTGGTTATCTACCTCACCATCTTCATGTTTCCCATTGTCTGAAATGCTTTTGTCTTCATCAGCATATGCAAGGCCTAGCATCCCAAAACCAAAGTCAAACCAAGATGGACTGGTAATTGAGCTGTCATTAATGACTGTATCTTCCTTGTTTGCTGACATTTCTCTGCATGGAGCTGGGGTTTCTTCATCAGGTGAAACAGAATTGGGAACGTCTTGTAACGGCTGATTGCTTTCTTTGGACAATACCTCAAGTTCTGTGTCCTCCTCTCCAAAACCTAAAAAGTTTGTAAATCCACTACCAAGCCAGCCAGTGGTTTGGGGTTTGAGGACATTCTCTGACTCAGACACTAGTTCATACTGCTCCTCTGGCACTGGACTGGATTCTGGTGTCCCTGAATCAAACTGTGATTTTGGATCTTGCTCAAGTTCCATTTGGGGTTCACCATTGTTTGATTTCTCTAGGTCATTCTCTTCCACTGTTAATTTTCTACTTTGAAATGAGCTTTCTTGAGTGGGTTCAGTATCTGCTTCAAAAGCCTTCTCTTCAGCTTCTTTTTCTTCTTTCCCCAGTCCAAACAATCCTTGCATTTCAGGAGTACTTAGGGATGGCAAGACACGGTACACATCAGGATTGTAAACCTGCTCTCCACTTCCCGCACTTACAGCTTCCACCCAGTCCTTAGACTCCTTGGAAACCCTGAACTCTTCACGGGCTTCTGATGTTGAAATTTGGTCTTCAAACGAAGTCCCTTCAGAAGCTGCATAAAAGTCCGATTCTAACTGAAAATCACTTTCATACATATTATATTTTTGGTCTTCATCTTCTTCATATGGGTACATATTTCCATCACCATCGCTGTTTAACTCACTATGTTCACTTCCAAATATGTAGCCTTCTCCAAGCAGACAAAGAAAGTCAGATTCCTAAGACAAAAAAAAAAGTCATAAATGTATCTCCTTAAACATTTTAAGATAGCAGATTATTTCACACCTATAAACCCAGTATTTTGGAGGCTAAGTCAGGAGGATTGTAAATTAGAGGCTAGCTAATCTATATAGAAAGACTTGATCTTTGAGTGGAAAGATGGCTCAGCAGTTAAGAACACTTGCTGCCCCCCAAAAAATAAAGCTGGGCAGTGGTGGTGCATGCCTTTATTCCCAGCACTTGGGAGGCAGAGGCAGGCAGATCTGCATGAATTCAAGACCAGCCTAGTCCACAGGTCTACAAGAGCTAGTTCCAGGACAGCCTCCAAAGTCAGAGAGAAACCCTGTCTCAAAAACAAAAAAAATAAAAAAAAAGAGCACTTGTGGCAGCCAGGCAATGATGGTGCATGCTTTTAATCCTGGCACTCAGGAGGCAGAGGCAGGCAGACCTCTGAGTTCCAGGACATCCTGGGGTACACAGTGAGTTCCAGGTTAGCCAGAGCTACAGGGGGAAACCCTGTCTCAAAAAACAAAACAACAGTGTTGTATGAAAGGAGAGAAGGTTAGCACTCCCTTTGACAAGGATGGAAGAGGCCCTTGGGCCTAACAACATGCCTACAGTTAAGGCATTGCCACTTGCTTCGTAGCATCTAACCACTGTTTTTGCAACAAAGACATCTATTCAACTATGTTCATAGCAGCACTATTTGTAATAGCAAGAACCTGGAAGCAACCTAGATGCCCCTCAATTGAAGAATGGTTACTGAAGATGTGGCACATCTACACAATGGAATACTACTCTGAGGAGAAAAAAAATAATGGTATCTTGAAATTTGCAGGCAAGTGGATGGCACTTGAAGAAACCATCCTGAATGAGGTAACCCAGTCACAAAAAGAGGAACACAGTATGTACTCACTCATATATGGATTTTAGGCACAGAGCAAAGGATCACCAGCCTATAATTCACACCACCAGAGGAACTAGGATACAAGGTGTATTCTAAGAGATTCATATAAAGTCCCTCACAGAAGGGGGAAGGGACAAGTCCCCCAGAGCACGGGGGGGGGGGGGCAGCGAATGGAGAGAGAAGTAGGAGAAAATGAGGGGGAGGAAAGGAAAACACATGCGACCAGGAAGATTGAGCCCGGTTTGGAATAGAAGACAGGAGAGAGAGAGAGACAGAGAGAGAGAACATGAAAGAGGGAGCCAATATTGGTTTGAAGATAAAATTGAACACAAAGAAAGGTCTAGAGAACTACAAGACTGACTCCAACTAACAATTTGAGCTTCTGTGGAAAGGCTACCATAAATGCCCTTCCCGGAGAGAGAGATCAACAACTAAATTATCCATGGAGCCCTCAACTAATCTCTGTTGGAAACAGGATCAAACACCCATACATAAACACTGAGTCGAAGTAGAACCCAGATGCTGATGGAGAGGACAAGACCAGGCAGCAGAAACACATACAGACAGCTTACCTGAACAAGGAGGAGCTAAGGAGCCACCAGACTCCTGGGAGCCACCAGATAGCTGGGAAGCCAGCATGGGACTGACTCAGGCCCCCCTGAATATGGGTCTCAGCCAGAAGGACTGAGCAGACTAAGGGACCTCAGACAGTGGAGCCAGAATGTATCCCTGGTGCACAAAAGGACCTTGCTAACACATCCCCCATGGAGGGATAACTGCCTTAATCTAGAGACAGGAGAGAAGCCCTAGTCCCTACTTCACATGACCTGTCAGATCTACATGACCCCAACTGGATGGCATTCCCCTACATATGGAATTGGGGTGGGGGATGGGAGGGAGGGTGGTTAGAGTGCTTGTAAGAGGGCAGAGAGGGTAAAAGGGAGGGAAGGAGGGAGGGAGGGAGAGGGAACTGGGATCGACATGTAAAATAATAAATTAAATAAAAAATGCTTTGATTCCAAAATTTAAGTTCAAGGGCAAGTTACTGGGGAAAAGGATTTCTATTTTTGTTTCCACAGAAAATGAAAAGATGTGGATTCTTTCCAGACTAATGTGGTTTGATCAAGCCAGACCGCCTGAAACAGAGTACCAGGTGATCCTACATTCAAAACAGCTGGACAAAGCAGCCTTACAGACTACAGCCAGGATTTCTGCATCTTCTTAGAATCCCCCATGACAGTGCCCCTTACCAGCAGGAAGTAGTTTGGAAAGAACGACGCCCAAATTCCCAAATATTGTCTATAAATGTTTATTTTCATTTAAATGGACTTGGTTATATAAAATAAATAAATTTTAAAAATCCTTTAAAAAAAGTTTAAGAAATAAAGACACAAATATAGGCTAGTCAAACCCTTTGACAATTAAAAACAAAAACAAAAAAACAAAACAAAACAAACAAAAAAAAAAAAAAAAAAAACAACAGGCTGGAGACATGGCTCAGAGATTAAGAGCATTGACTGTTCTTCCAGAGGACCTCAGTTCAATACCCAGCAACCACATGGTGGCTCACAACTATCTGTAATGAGATCTGGTGTCCTCTTCTGACCTGCAGGGACACATGCAGAGACAGAACACAAAGAAAGAAAGACAGAAAGAAAGAAAGCTTAGCTAGGTTTTCAGGACATACAGCAGGTGGTTCACTCACTGCCTTTAACAACAGTTCTAGGGAATCCAATATCTTCTTCCTGCCTCCCTGGGTACACGAACATGTGGCATACACTCTCACAGACAAATAAATAAGAAGACTGTTTCAAAAATAAAGTAAAAGGATAACCCTGGAGCAAAACCTAAAATCAGGTCCCCTAATCTCAAACACAGGAATCACAAATGACTCCCTGCCAGGCAGTCGTGGCACATACCTTTAATCCCAGCACTGAGGGAAGGAGGGGGCACAGAAGGATCTCTGGGAGTTCAAGGCCAACCTAGTCTACAGAACAAGTTCCAGGAGAGACTCAAAGCTACATAGAAACCTTGTCTTGGAAAACAAAACAAAACAAAACTGACTTCCAAGGATTAATGATATAAACTTAAATGAAAAGTCTTAGAGTATGCTTTATTTGTTACCAAATAATTGAGAGTCATAGATTATTAATGCTTTGAGTATATTCCACAAATAAGTTATGAGAAAGCATATACAAAATCTGGCACCTCCTAAGAGTGTACTAAGTGAATGCATCCATTTGTGCGGTCATTTCAGGGCATGGGTTATATAACCTAGATGTGTTCCCCAAAAAGCACATATAGGAAACTAATTGCAACAGTCAGGAGATAGATCTTCATGGTAAGTGATTAGGCTGTGAGGTCAGTGTGAATGGATAAAAGCTTAACATTACCAGGGGAGCGGGTGCTGCTGAAGGAGAGAATCGACCCCTCAAAGTTGGCCCATGGCAATGACTCTTCCCTCACCATGCACATAAAGCACAGTAATTTTTAAAAAAGTGAAAAATAGATGGTGACACCTTGGAAGAAAGCCTACAAGATTGTGAATACAGAGCAAGAATGTGCTATAGATACCATAAAGAGACAGAAGTGACAAGGCCAAGTATCCGGAAGGAAGTACACAGCTAATCCTTGTGCCAACAATAGATTTTGTGGAAGCAAACAGTCTTATTTCATGATGCCCTTACTCATGGTAAAACCTGGAATCTGAATTAAATTGGCAAGTCAGTGACAGATTTTGATGATCCCTCCAAGGCATCACCCTCTCTGAGGAGTGGATGGGGAATGAGACAGGAAGGGGGGGGTTCGGGGGCATGGGAGGGAAGGAGGGAGAGGGAACTAGGATCGATACGTAAAATAAGATAAATAAATTGGAAAATCAAAATTATATATTTTAAATATCACTCTTTTAGTCCTTTTATTTTTTATATATTTATTTATTGTTATATATTTATATATTTCCTTTTTTACATATCCTTTTCCTTAATTATATATTTGATTTGAAGTATGTTGTGTCTCTGGAGAAATATATACATATATATGTATATATGTATATATATATAATTTCTTTTATTTTATGTTCATTGGTGTGAGGGTGTCAGGTCCCCTGTAACGGACAAGTGTGAGCTGTCATGTCGGTGCTGAGAACTGAACCTGGGTCCTCTGGCCCAGAGCCATGTCTCCAGAATTCACTCTTTAAACCACTGTACTCTATTGTCTGTTAATTGCTCAGAACCCAAAGTCTTTAACTGTCAGCCATCCTATTTTATCTAATTGTATTCACATATCCAAACCATGCCAAGAACAAGATAATGATTATTGCTTACAGTCACTAAATGAGGTATACAACCGATGAACATTTATTCCAAGGAAGCCATTTTTGCCAAGAAATTTTTAATTCAATTAATAGCTGAGAATGAGTTTACTCACTTTAGTTGACATTTCGACTTCCTCAGATATGAACACCTCTTCAATCTGGACTGCATCTCTGGGAAAAAACCCAAAGTCTTTTCCTTTCTATCAAAACAAAGAATAAAGATTATAAAGGAAAAAAGTGATTGAAGCAGTAATAACTATTGAGACTCATTTTGCCCTGTGACTTTGGCTTTGAGTTACATTAAACCACAAAATATTAATTGGCTATTAAATGCTATCTAAAAATCATGAGTGGGGTCTGGGGATACAGTGAAGAGGTAGAATGTTTGCTTAGCATGCATGGGGCCCTGGGTTCATGTTCCAATGTAAACAAACAAACAACAACCAAAAGAACATGACCCAGGCCTTGTTTGTTTGTTTGTTTTGTTATTTGATGGAATAATATTAACTTAAGGGCCTAATTACCTACACTTTAAAATGGCACTGTCACAAGCTCCAGTATGAGAACTGTACTATCTACTCCTGTTCATCTTGTTCTCCTTCTCTCCGTTTTTGGTTTTTTGTTTTGTTTTAAAATTTATGTGTTTTTATTTTATATGTATGGGTATTTTGCCTGTAGTAACTGTGGGATCCAGAAGAGGCCATCAGATCCCCTAGAAGTTATAGACAGTTGTGAGCTGCCATGTGGACACTAGGAAGCAAACCCATGTCCTCTGGAATTGTATGAAGTGGGTGTTAACCCCTGGCCATTGTTCCAGCCCAAGCCTTCCCTTATTTTCTAAGGACCTTCTTTGCCCAGGTTCTGCAGATTTACACTTTTCTATCTGAGATATCGAAAAGTAACGATTCAGGTGACAACTAAGGAATATTGCAGAGGATGTGACAAACTGGGAATTTTCAATGTGTCCCATTCAAGAAATGGATTTAAACTCCTGGAAGCCAGAGATGGATTTCATGAGGTAGTTAAGGTCCATGTGTCCACAAGGGAGGATGCAGTTCCTTATGGCTCCTTTTGGTTTTTCTGGGCTAGCCTGGTGACAGATTCTCTTGGCCAAGTTCAAGCACATGTAGCAATGTCCCCCAAGAGTGAAGTCACCACCCAATCACTCACAATCCTTCTATGCCTGTTAAAGTTTCACAGATGTTTTCTGTCTTCTGATCTCACACCTTCACATGTTCTAGCTCCCCTGTTAGTCTTCATTTATAATACATAGTACTAGCAATATGCATTACACAGTCCATACACTATTGGGAAATATAAGTACAGACTATCCATCTCTACTTCATCTTAGCAAAAAAGCAGAGAAACAATTAGACTAAACATTTAATGTACCAAACCAAAAGCAACTGAGACTTCACACAGAGTTTTATCCATTAAATACCATTTTGTGTAGAATTATTATTTTCATACTTAGTAAACAAACAAAAAAGGTTGTTTTATTTGCCTCTTATAACTTACACTATGTCATTTTCTTAAACCCCCATCAGATTTCAGTGATGCATTCAAATCACAAACTGATTTTTTAAAGCTATTCTAAGCAGTAATGAGTCCTGGAAGCTGTAGAGCAGAAAGCAAATCTGGCCAGTGGCAGAGGTAAGTTACACATGCCCTGGTGTGAAGAGGAAGGTTTCAGATACAGTCTATGCCCTCAGATGGTACGATGTTGTACACCAACAACAGCCACACGGAGGGGATCTGGCATTCAGGCTCATCCTCAACTACGTTGGGAGTTTATGGATAGCCTGGGTTACGAGAAACTGTCTCTTTCAGACAGCGATCATAGAAACTGCATTGGGGAAGAACCTAATACATACACAACATGGGAACTATGTAAGACTATCAGATTGGTCATGTCTGTTGAGCTTGGAAGTAAACTCATCTATCATAGCATGCCGTTATTACAAAACATAATACACATCAGAAATATAAATCTTTTCAACCAAAAACATTAATTATTGTCCTCAGAGATAGTTTAGGCTGCTTTCAGTTTGGCCAAATAAAAGGATCTCTCAGTTATTCTTTTGTTTTCCATGAAATCTTATATACCTTTCTTCCCTAGAGTACCAGACGTTTGCTGACCTCTCCAACACACTTCAGTCCTGTCTGCAGACAGACATACTTTGAAATCTGATCAACTAACTTCTCAGTCCTTCTCAGACTTGGTCACTGACAGCACAGAAAGTCAGTGTGGTTGCCATTATACAAGTCAGTACTCCTAAAGACCTTCTAAGTAAATACAAACGCTAAGCTTAAAACTGCATTTTATGTAAAAATAATTTCAAGGCACCCCTTTAGTCCTTTGTCTCAAGCTGATTTTCCAAACACTTCTTTTACAGAAATTTTACATTTTTTTACAAAATTTTTTGTGATTTTTTTTTTTTTAAGCTCTGGGTGGACCAGGCTGGCCTTGTACCAAGTACCTGGATGCCTGGTTGAGGCATGCATGTGATCATTTTTTGTTTGCTTGCTTGCTTAAATATGATGAGGGTTTAATATTTATACAGCAGTAAGAGTTCCTTTAAAGATTCACATTGAGTATCCTTGTGCAGGTTGTCTATTTATTCTGCATTCAGTTCTTAAAACTAGATACTTACGCTTCCTGCCCACAGATCTTCTCTCTCTCCTGCAAGTTTAACATAAACAGATATCTCTTCGCCCTCAGTGAAGTTCAGGTACCGGCAGTCAGGTCCTGTGTGATCTCTCAGGGCTAAGACTCTGCTGATTAAAGCTATATAGAAACATAAAGAAAAGCACACACTTTAAAATGTTATTGCAGCCAGGCAGTGGTGGCACACGCCTTAAATCCCAGCACTCGGGAGGCAGAGGCAGGCAGATCTTTGTGAGTTCGTGGCCAGCTTGGGCTACAGAGAGAATGCCAGGATAGGCTCCAAAGTTACACAGAGAAACCCTGTCTTGAAAAAAACAAATAAAATAAAATGTTATTGCTTTTCTCATTTACCTGTTTATAGACAAGGTCTTGCTATGCGTCCTACACTGACCTCAAACTTAAAATTTTCCTGCTTCCACTTCTCCTAAGTGCTGAGATTATAGATACATGCCACTAGACTTAACTCTTCCATCCATTTTGCCTTCCTTCAATCTGTCCTTTAAGTTTTGTTTTTTGGTGTTGGTTTTAGAATTTGGTTGATTATTTGTTTTTGGTTTGGGTTTTGGTTTTTGGGTTTTCCAGACAGGGTTTCTTTGTGTAACAGCTCTGGCAGTCCTGGAACCAGCTCTGTAGACCAGGCTGGCCTCAAACTCACAGAGATCCTCCTGCCTCTGTTTCCCAAGTGCTGGGATTAAAGGCATGCACCACCATCATCCAGCTCATCCTTTAAGTTGTGAAATGATAGCTGGTCCTAATAATTTACACTTGCAATCCTAGAACTCATGAAGCTGAGGCAGGAGGATTTCAAGAGTTTAGGATATGTCTTAGTTAGGATTTCTATTGCTGTGAAGAGGTACCATGACCACAGCAACTCTTATAAGAAAAACATTTAATTGGGGTGGCTTACAGTTCAGAGGTTCAGTCCATTATCATCATGGTGGGGGGCATGGTGGCATGCAGGCAGACATGGTGCTGGCTGCATCTTTATCAGAAGGTTAACAGGAAGTGTCTGTGACACTAGGTGGTATCTTAGGCATAAGAAACCTCAAAGTCACCCCCACAATGACACACTCTGCCAATAAGGCCATACCTACTCCAACAAAGTGGAATCTCCTAATAGTGCCACTTTTTATGAGCTTATGAGGGACAATTACATTCAAACTACTACAGGCTAGTTCTGTAATAAGAATAATAACAACAACAATAATAATAAAGTTTGAAAAGATAATTTACTGATATTGGTTATGATCTCAAAAACCAAAGTAAACTTTTCACTACACACAGATTCAAGCCCAGATTTTTTGGCACAGGCTCGCACCTGTGTACATGTAGAGGTCAGGATACAACTTTTGGGAGTCTGTCCTCTCCTTATGTCTTGTGGATCCTGGTTGTCAAACTCAGGTTGTCAGGTGTGGCAGCAAATGCCTTTACCTGCTGATCATCACACAGGCTCTTGCTTCCTTACTGTGTTTTATGTCTTAGAAATATTTATATTTCATTTTATATGTTTGAGCGTTTTGCTTGCATGTATGTCTCTGCACCATATGTGTGTGTCTGGTGCTCACAAAGGCCAGAGAGGGTACTAGATCCACAAGAATGGGATTTATAGGTAGTTGTAAGCGTCCATGAGGGGGCTAAGAACTGAACCCTCATCCTCTGCAAGAGCTGTAAGCACTCTCAGCTACAGATGCATCTCTGAAGCCTATGTTCTTCCCTATTTTAAGCAATCTCTCCTGTTTGCACAAATTCAGGGCTACACTCCAGCTTGCAAAGATGTTGTTCCCAGAGGAGTAGTCACCACTGTTCTTCAAAGTGTAGGACGTTAGCTTTCTTTCTGGTATCTTTACATTCCTAAGCATTATATTTTCATTCTGTTAAATCATCCTCAGTGCACATCTATAAGGTGAACAACCCCATTTCATTCTAACAATTGAGCCCTTAGCTAAGGCTTAAGGGACTAGCTAAGGCTCTGGTTGGCTAGATCTGCCTTGAGATTTTTTTTTTCACTGCAACATCATCTTCCTTATCCTAAGTGTCTATCTTCCCTCAGTCCAGAAAAAAGCACATCTCTCTTCTTGCTTAACTCATACCTTGCTTCCTCTCTGAGTCTGAATTGTAGCATTACCTGCTATCCTTACAATTTTATATCACTATTGTTTCCCCTTGATCTGTTTTGTCATTACTAAATAAAGTAAATATTCCTACAGAGTAAGAAACTGCTGACATTGCGCTTTGTTGCTTTTAAGACACATTGTATTAAAAACATACCCTGGAGACATAGTAGGCCCTCAATAACTCTAAGTATATCACAAATGCTTGATTCAGCCTATCGGTGTCACATAATATCATATAACTATTACGGTACTAATGTGTAAAATTTAAAAGCATACTGATTAAGTCCTTCAACAAGAGTCTAAATAGCCTTATAAATTATTATGAGTTTGAATTTCCATTCTACTCAAAAGATATTAAAGTGCTGATATAATGCTAAGTGGGATTGTCACTATAAAGTACCATGGTTTTCCAAAAGCTTAAGAAAAAAATTGTGCATAAAAATATCACTTGTGAAATTTTTACATTTAAACTAATCATCTTTTGCAAAGTCACTTGTCTGCCAAAGACCTGTACAAGATCAAGCCATTGACATCCCCAAACATATCAGAGATGGACTCACAAGCACCCACTGCTAGTTGAGGAGCTACTGAGTCCATGGCTTCTGAAGGAAGAGAGTCATTTTTTCAGGGGTGTGGCCACTGGAGGGTTGTGCCTGTTCAGATGGATGGCCCCACACTCATGTGGTGGTTCACAACGCTCTGTAACACCAGTTCCAGGGGGTTCCACGCCCTCCTCTGACCTCTGCCAGCATCAGGCATGCAAGTGGTTCGCAGAAATACATACGGACAAAACATTCACACATAAAATGATATGGATAAATTTTTAAGAAGAATTTTCTTTAAAACTTTAAAACAGAGGGACTGGTGGCATAACCCCTTTCATCCCAGCAACTTGGGAGGCAGATCTCTATGAGTTTAAGGCCAACCTGATGTACACAGAGAGTTCCAGGACACCCAGGACTATGTAGAAAAACTGTCTCCAAAAAAAAAAAAAAAAAAAAAAAAAAAAAAAAAAAAAAGAAAGAAAAAATAAAGAAAGGAAAGAAGGAGAGAGTTGTAGTAAACACATTTCAAATGACTTCTGAGAAAGATTACAAAAATTTTTATTTATAAAAATATTACTACCCGAGGTCAGGCGGTAGTGGTACAGGCCTTTAATCCCAGCACTTGGGAGGCAGAGACAGGTGGATCTCTGAGTTTGAGGCCAGACTGGCCTACAGAGTGAGTTCCAGGACAGTCAAGGCTACACAAAGAAACCGTGTCTTGAATAAAAAACATTACCAGGGTTGGAGAGATGGCTGAGAACATGGGAGCACTCTCCTAGAGCATCTGGGTTCAATTCCCAGCACCCAAATTGTGGCTTGTGGCTTGTGGCCATCTATGACTCCAGTCAGTGAATTCAGAACCTTCTCTGGCCTCTGAGGACACCACATACACACCCAGTTCCTTTACATGCATGCACGCAAAACACTAATACACATAGAATAGAGGTAAGTAAACCTTTCGTACATTATCTGTTAGCATTTTTTGTTTGTTTGTTTTATAGGATTACACGTTGTGTTTTAATTTACATTTTGCAAAATTAGAAATAGCTTTCATGTGGGTAAGATAGAACTTATTTTCAACATCTAAGATGAAGATACAATATTTTCTTTTTCTGTTTTTGTTATTCTTTTATTTTAAAATGAAGAACTCATTATGTAGATCAAGCTGGCCTGGGGCTAGAGACCCGCTTGCCTCTGCCTCCTGAGTGCTGGGACTAAAGCTGTGTGCCACCATACTCAGCAGGATAAAATTATTCTGCATCATCATGTGGATAAGGAAAAAATTAAGTTCTTGGAGCTGGAGAGATGATGAGTGGTTAGGAGTACTTACTGCTCTTGCAGAGGACTCAGGTTCAGTTCTCAGCACCACATGGCAGCTCAGAACTATATGTTATCAAGTGCCAGGAATCCCATGCCCTCTTTTGGATTCTGTGAGCACTAGGCACATATGTTGTATAATATATGCATACATACATACATGCAAACCTACCTGTGGGCAAAATACCCATACACAAAATAAAAATTTTAAGTATGAGTTCTTCAACAACAAAGTAGAAATTAATTTCTCATCACAGAAATGTAAGAGAATTTAATACTGTATGTTATAAATCATGTATATCTATATTGGAACATTTAGCATTTTTATATAATAACACAAATGATTAGCACTTGATAAAATATAAACAACTAAATCATGATGTTTGAAATAAAAACAATTTTGGGGGAAACTCATGAGAATCAGCAAGTCCTGATTGTGAAACAGGAACTGAAATGTAGAAATTTCATAAATAGTGAATTATCAAACTGATATCTTCTTAAACAACCCAATTATCTTTTTAAAAAAACAGTAAAAGTTTTAGAATCTGTTTAGCTTTTGATACATGGATTAATACCATTTCTGACATATTTCTATAACAGTCTTATTTTGTCTTCTATGCTAAATTTATAATAACGCTGTCACAAAATGTTTTGCTTCTAGAATTCCTTTTTCATATCAAACTATAGTTTATAATTTAACTATTTCTCAATATTGTTATTGCTGATTTCATCATACAAGTTCACAGTAACATTTAATGTGATTTTAGAACTCAGTGTAAAAAACGAAGAAGAAAACTTACTTTCACATTCCAAGTCACCACACTTTTTGAGGTGTGCCAGCAGCCTCGTACCTTCCAGACACTTGGCCAGAGAAATAACCAAAAGAAGGATTCTTTGAGCACTAATTTCCACCATGATTAAACAAGACACCAGGAATCCTAAACAAGCGTTAAAATGCTTGTTAGGTCGCAGACATGCCAACAAAACAGGAGATACTCTCTTCGGTAGAACATGAGGAAGAGTTTCAGTACTTTTCAGTTCTTCCGCAGCTACATTTTCTCCTCGGTGTACTGGCTCAGTACTGGCTCAGCTTCAGGTATTAACACTCTCTGATCTCAACCTGCAGTGTCAGTTAGCCAGATAATACAGAAGGGCTTAATAATTAATGGAGACTTTTAGTTGGACTAATGTTTTATAAAGGAGCCCATGTGAAACTGACTCACTTAAAGGCACCTTTGCTCAGTGGGACAGGTTTTAAAGCTTCCTTAGAAAGGTAGTTAATCTCTACCATTGTCTTCAGGCAGATCAGTCAAAAAGTACAAACCAAATATTTACTGCATGCAAATTCTAACTTCAAAAGGGAAGGTGTAGAGCTGGAAAGTAAATGGACAATGCAGTGAATAAATGCATTCACCATGAAGGCTGATGACTTGAGTTTAATATTACCTGGGTAGAAGGACAGAACTGATTCCCACAAGTGGTAGTCTGACCTACACACACATACACACACACACACACACACACACACACACACACACACGAGAGAGAGAGCGAGAGAGAGAGAGAGAGAGAGAGAGAGGGAGAGAGACAGACAGAGAGACAGACAGAAAGAGAGATAGAGGAGAGTGTGTAAATAAATAAAGGCATGTAATTTTAAAAATTAAATGCATAATCCCAAATGAATTTACTCCTTTGCAAAAAAAAAAAAAAAAGCTTCAAATATGGAAACTAAATTGGAAACAATTGCTATACATGTGGTTTTATAAAGGAGAAGGTATACAGTTATATAAAAAGCTTTTAATTTATATTAAAAGTATGATTTTGAAATATGATTATCAGAAAAGCTATTCCTTTGGTATTTTTTTAAGAAATCATCAGTGTTACTATGAAGTCATATTTAGAATAACAGTTAAAACATAGTAACTACTTACTATGATGCACATATTGTCTGAAATACCTAGATAATGTGCACAGGTACATGATCTGACTTCATACCAGCTCTCTGGAATAAGGGACATTATCACCCTGATATTTGTATATGAGCCAGACTAAGTCACCTAATGGCAGATAATGAATGAAAATAAATTTAAACATACGTACTGTGAGAAAAACAACACTGTAACTGCTATGTGCTATCATCTGCTGTGGAAAAGCAGACGTGGAGAATTGTTCTACTCATTGAAGATTACACAGGTATTTCTGAAAGTGAATGGAGAAAAAGTGAGAGATGGAGAGTATTGACAATGTTCCCATAGGTGAAAATGTATTCTCCTTCATAGTGTTCACTGGTGAAAACCAGTGAGCATGTGTCCAAGCACTTAGGGGGCAGAGGCAGGAGGATCTCTGTGAGTTCGAGGCCAGCCTGGTCTACAGAGTTAGTTCCAGGACAGGCTCCAAGGCAACACAAAGATACTCCATCTCAAAAAACCAAAAATAGAAGGAAAAAAGAAAAGAAAAGAAATCAAGTCATTGAGTGTTGTTGTTGCTTTAAAAGATCAAAGTCCTATATTGGGAAATTTTGTTTAAGGGACTAGATCTGAAGGTTCCCAGGTCCTAATGCAGCACATTGCACTCTAGTGCCAGAAAGAAACGACACATATCCATCACCCTTGACAAACTAAAGTAAAGGACCTTTGCTCCCAAAGTCCTAAAAGAACAGAAGTACAATTGCCTGCTGGTTTGTTTACCAGTGGAAATCTGCTCTCTCTGAGATAAGGTTTGTACATTTCCAAAAAAAGTTGAACATACACTTGAGGGTCAGTTAACTTTCAACAGAGCATTCTATGGTTACACACACACACACACACATAAAATAATAAAATTTAATTCAAAAGTTCCAAGAAAAGGGGCAGTAAGAGCTTGGTAAAGTTTAAATTTGTCTATTGAATGCATAAAAAGATGTAAGTTGATAGAGAAGAGATTCAGAGATGGGTCTACTGTATGCACCCACTGTGTCTATTTCTGCACTCGGTGACCTCATTCTCTGTTCAGATCATGATTTAAAGATAAAAGAACTTGTAGCTGAGTGGTGGTGTCACACTCCTTTGATCCCAGCACTCAGGAGTAAGACAAGTGATCTCTGTGAGTTCAAGGCCAGCAGCCTGATGATCTGCAGAGTTCCAGGACAGGACAGCCGGGCTACACAGTAAAATCCATCTCTAAGAAAAAAAAATTATTATAAATAATAGCCACATCAACTTACTGGTTACATAACAGCTGATGCAGTGTGTAGATTAATTGTATCTGTATTCATCTACAAAGCCAACACTACAGATGATGTCATGGTAACAAAATGCAGTCATTTTGGAGGTAAGAGAGCCTACCGTACAAAGCTGAAGACTGAATTGTCAAAGTCACACATCACATCCTTCAGATAAAATCTCAGGGTAGCCTTTCCCTCAGAACATAAAAGCATCCTCATGGGTGTTTGAGTCTTTTTGTGTGGTGGTATCATTGCCAACTCTATACAGTATTGCCTCCTTTCTTAGTATCTCAAGTTTCCTAAAGTGAAAACGTTATTTCCTTAAACCATCTGCCTGTCACTCTGGCAACTTACAAGATAGGTTCAGTCAGGAGTGCCTTAGAATACAAAACTGAATAAACCCACGAGGCTTTACCAAGGTCCAGGCATGAGAACAGAGCCTTTGCATAAAGTCCTCATGGTAGGCAGGCTCATAGTAAGAAAAAGGGCCTCAGAGAGTAAAGCTTGTTTGGAGTACATGCAGAGGCCTGATCTCCAATCTTCCAGGTAGGACTTTCTGCCCAACTGCTCTGAGTCCTGTCAGCTGACAGTGTCCAGCAGGCTGTGATGTCAAAGTCTGCCTTCCCTGCAGGGAGTAGCCTTACCCAAGATTACACCTCCTGGGTGTTCTAGTGCATCTGGGAAGTAAACAGATAGGAAAGGGCAAGGTCATTTCTCATCCGGTGCTTCCTGCTAGCTAAGCCTTTCGATTTGATGTCTTCTGTGCTTTTCTGCTTTCCTTCCCTTTCTTTTGAGGAAGGGAATACCTTGAGCCTAAAACCCCATCTCAGCATGTGTGGTGATATTTTGTTTATGATCTAACAAATAAAGCGTGCCTGTAGATCAGAATGCAGAGCTAAGCCACTAGTTAGCCACACACACACACACACACACACACACACACACACACACACACACACACACACACACACACCTAAGCCACTAGTTAGCCAAAGCAGATGGGCAGTGGTGGTCACACTTTTAATCCCAGTGCTTGGGAGACAGGGGCAGATGGATTTCTGTGAGTTCAAGGCCACCCTGGGCTACTTGAGTGGGAATCAGTCTAAAAGAGAAACAGAGCTCACAATTTTGATCCCAGCACTTGGGATGACACACCTTTAATCTCAGCACTAGAGAGGAAAATAAGACAGGAGGACAGGAGGAGACAGATGCAGTCAGATTCAATCTGGATTCGTGGAGACAGGATCTCCCATTTCGGTCTGAGGTAGAGGTAAAAGCTAGTGGCTGGCTGCTTTGCTTTTCTGATCTTCAGCTTTAACCCCAATATCTGCCTCTGGGTTTTTATTACTAGCATCTGCTTCTAGAAGGCCCAATCTTGAAAGCCATGAAACACAGACAAAAAAGGAAAAAAAAAAAAAAAAAAAGACAACAATATTAAACACATACTTTAGTCTATCCTTTGTGCCAGTCATGCTGTGACTTCCTTGTCTGTTTTGTGTTGCTGAAGTCCACGTTGTACTTCTACTCACCGTTTTATGTTTTGTTTCTTGTTGTTGCTTTATTCTAGACAGGATTTCTCTGTGTAGTCCTGACTGTCCTATAATTCACTCTGTAAACCAGGTAGGCCTCGAACTCAGAGATCTGCCTGCCTTTGCCTCTTGAGTGCTGGGATTAAAGGCATTGTGCCACAACCACTTGGTTTGTGTTTTGTTTCTATCAATAGGAAATGAATAGGCATTGAGATTTCAGGGCTGGTACCAGGTGATGATTCTGAAGGAACAGCTCACAAATGTGGAGATTAGGTTAAAGGGGAGCAACAAGGAGGTAATGTCCTCAGGCAGGGAGGAATTCTGATTTGCTTGGTGGGAGCTACAGGAGAGGCCTGCCCAACAGGAACTTGAGGCCTTCAGAAACTTCGGTGAAGCTCCATTCTTCATTGTCTTCTGCTGCCCTGACAGTACTTTCCATTGACCAGAACTGTCAGACACTAGCAAAGAAGGGAACCCTTTGAAGCAGCTGTAAATGTCTGCATTCTGGCAGCGTCAAACACAGTGACAAATGGAAGAGTGGATTAGAAAGAACAAAGAAAACACAGGCAGGTCATGATTCCTTTCCTGTGCATTGCCAAGACTCAAGATAGCATTGGATACTATCTAGCCTTTTTTAAGTGTGTGTGTGTGTGTGTGTGTGTGTGTGATGACATACACGTGGGGTCAAGGGAGAACTTTCAGGAATCTGTTCTTTTCTTTCACCATGGATTTCTTGAATCAAACTCAAGTGTTAGCCTTGTGTGGCAAGTACCTTTACCCCACTGAGTCATCTTGCTGACCCATAGCTCGTCTTTAACAGTACCTTCCTTACTTCTAGCATGTAGACTAGCTAGGCCATGTTTTGTGGAATATACTCCTCCATCTCAGAAATCTCTAAGAGTCAGAGACTTCCTTTGTTCTTAGATCTGAAGGGAAATGACAGACCTGAAGAACCTGTGTCCCTTTGGGGCCCTCATGATGGCTGTTTGTGACCATGAGCTTATTTCATCTCATCTAAAGGAGGAACCTGCTTTTCAAAAAAGATTTATTTGTTTGTATTTTATGTACACGAGTGTTTTGAATGTGTATATGAATGTACACCATGTGCATGCCTAGTGCCACAGGTTACAGAAGAGGATTTGGATCTCTGATCCACCAAGTGGGTGCTGGAAACTGAACCCTGATCATCTGCAAGAAGAGCAAGTGCTCTTAACATCTGAGCCATCTCTCCAGTCTACATACCTGCTTTTTATTATAAGTGCTACCTCTTAACATGTACAGGCCTTTTTC